GATAACACAGTACGGCTCTGGGACCCAGCAATGGGCGATCTGCAACAGACCCTTAAGGGCCATACAGACCAGGTTCGGGCAATGGCCTTCTCGTCCGATGGCCGGCTACTGGTATCCAGCTCCGAGGATAACACAGTACGGCTCTGGGACCCAGCAACGGGCGCTCTGCAAGAAACCTTGAGTACTAAGGGACTTGTCACGAAACTTGAATTTTCTCAAGATAGCTCATATCTCAGTACTAACCTAGGATCGTTCAAGATTCAATCCAGGTGTCATAACCCTATGCTCAATGTACACATGACGGACTCAGTGATATCTCTACAGAGTGAATGGATAGCTTTGAATGGGAAACAAGTCTTATGGCTCCCTCCTGAGGCTAGGAAATCTTGTTCAGCGACCAAATTAAATACACTTGTTTTAGGACACGCGTCAGGTCGGATTTCCTTCATAGGATTCCGGAAATAATAGATGTCAATCGATTTTCGTTTCTTAATACCTATATTTTTTAATATCTTTACAGAAGAAGGGTTTGGGAGGGACAAAACTAATCTAGATGTATTGTATTTCTTTCAAGAACATGTTACTCGGCCCCTCCAGAATCCAACACGGTGGCGAATCCATAGGGTCTTGTCGCCACGGTTCTACTTGCTGAGTCAGACGCATCCTCAAAACCCACAATATCCTAGTTAGGTTTTCCATCTATTTGATCATCACCAGCCATATCATACTCCTATGATCTGGACAATTTTCAGCAGAGAATTGTAACTTCAGGACTTCGTTGGTGAGCTTCTGCCCAGCCTTTATGTCCGCATGGTCCACTAATCTGCACTCAGTCTTCTGACTAGCGCCTTGGCAGTGGGGTCCATAATAAAGGAAAGAGAGTGAGGCGGTGAAGCTAGTTTTGCACCACCCTGTACATCAAATGGGTCTTTATGCATTATCACACACGCTATGGATGGTTGCATAAAAAAATGCGCATATTCCACACTCTCGCCAGAGCCTAACAGCGGATCATCTCCAACCTTAATGTTCATGTTGACCAACAAACAATACTAGAATGGCAAAGTTTTCAGGGATCCCTGGTAGAACAAAAATAGTCGAGTCAAAGGCTCGCTGCACTCGGCAATACATAGTACATCTATCCTCATTACTCTTCAACATCAATATTCTCATGTGAGAAATGACCTAGTGCACTTCCTCTCGCGCCCCGATGACATCCAGGCTCCGCTCAAGATGATCTTTGAATCCTTTCCCTATGTGGTTCTGCCAATTATGTCTCATAAATACTTCGAGTTCTGTATCGATCTCTTCAACTGGGTTTGGCTCAGGGTAGTATTGTTGTAAGTACAACATTTAGCACCAATATTCAAGCAAAAGCTCTGCTCACATTATTATGGACACTACTGCTTGAGTATGCCCGAGATCTAAGGAGACCACAAATAATTTAGTTTATGTCCGTTATCCGTGAGTTCGAAAGATGCAAGCCTTGATTTAGCTGCTAATATTTTTTCTGACCGTGTCTTTTTAAAGGGTTTTATATGCGCGAAGTATCCCTCGATCGGATTGCACGGTGGGACGTGGATGGCGAGTTACGCACTGAAGTTCATGGTTGTACTTGGTTTCGCTAACCCGGGCTGTCATTGGACAGAGTTTGGGTCTCTCCCATTTGACCTGGAACCCCTCCACGACCCCGCTGCTGAATCGAACAGTTAGCTTTCCCTGACCAAGCTCTGCTTCAATTAACTTGTCGGAAGTCTCTGTTCCATATATGCATATATGAGATGGATGCTCTGGTAACGTTCGGCGCTGTCTTCACCAGTACAGGCAACTTCAGTCTGTCCAGTCTACTCACGATTATCTACAGCCTGTTCTTGAAGCCTTATTTGGCGCCGCTGACAGTGAACATCACCCTCATCAGTCAATCCACTGATTTCGCCCCGACTGCTGCAGAAATTGATGCTTTTCTAAGAGAACAGTTCGGAGAGGAATCTAACAAGTGGAGGTGTACTCTTACGGTGAAGCTTAACCGCTATAACGGCCCCGCCAGGAATGCTTTCCACGTTAGTCAAGTTCAATATAGGATTGATTGTACTCGGGTGGAAGTTGACGCTTACGGACGAGTCTCTAGGCAACCCTCCAGCACACTAGTACTCCCCATGAGAGCCCACTACGGGAGCTTGCTGTCCGATCACTTTGCGGGAAACTAGTCGGTATACACAGCGCCGATGAGTGTACCTTTCGAGTCCTTCCAGTGCATGCCCGAGAACAGATGGATGAAGTGGATAAAGCTTTTGGCAGTAGCCTCCTTTTAATGCAACTCAAGGAATTCTATAACGGACAGCATGGGACCAGAAATGATGACTGGATTGCGCCAGAGAACGACTGGATGTGAGCATATGACGCTATAATTGTTGTGGCATTAAGTTGTTGCTGACCTTAGGGTAGGCGATATATTTTCGAGGCCTTGGAAGTGTTTACGGACGGATATAACATATTTTCGGAATTTTTGACAAACGAGGAGATCCTCGAAATTCTTGATATTTGCGGTGTCATTAATGATCCTCGGATGCGGTTACTGGGAGAAGTTCTTCTCAGAATACTCAAGGCTTGCAGGGATAGATCTGAAAAGGATTTGAAGGTAAGAGAGCCCGAACTCTTATTGAAAAGGTGATGTACTGATAGCATTCATCGCTAACACCGAGCTATATCAAGTCCTGCAAAGACACCCTGAAAAAGTTCGATATGCGGGAGAAGGTTGAGCTGATCCAACGGTCATTCCACCCTGTTGTAGAATTCGGGAAAGATTTCAGTGTTATTCTCCAAAACATGGGTAAGTCCCTATACCAGCGAGGAATAAATACACACGATCTAATCGGACTTTATGTCGCTGATACACAGATGACCGCGGCTCTCCTGACAACGAAATGGAAGAGCTATCGAAGTCTCTTCTTCGGGTTAAGGCATGCCTTGTACCTTTCCGCGGAGTTCTAGGTGTCGTCATGACCGAATTAGCTGAACAGAAAAGTCGTTATATGACATGGGGATTTATCTCATGGGCAGCCTATCTGCCGTCCTTTGTTCTTGCCTGGCCTCTTGCGATAGTTGCCGGTGCGGCGTTTGTCTATTGTGGGGAAAAGATGCATGAGAAAAACACAGAGTTGGGGAAACTGTCACAATGTGAGGCTACCTACTCTATCATCACTTAAATGTATGTCAATTACTAACGCACAGACACTAGTGGACAAAGCAAGCAAAAATATTGATGCAATGGCAACTTGCACTAGACTTTACCTTATACTAGTGATATTGAAAGCCACCAGTTTTTTCGATCCGGAGTCTCCTGAAGGGCGCGAGTATTATTCGCTCATGGCAGAGATCTTCAAGATAGATCTTGGTGACAAGGGTTTCCAAATTAACCACTATATCATGCATGAAGGACTGCTGATATGCAGGCACTTAAAGTTTCTTCATGGAGGGCTTGATGCTATGTCTAAACATTACGGGGTGGTGTCATCAAATTCAAATATGGACTGGTAACATGGTGTACATCTGTTTTCGTCTACTCAATTATATATGGTATACGAGACGGATATTCGTCATCCGTTGCTCTACCATTCGATTCGACATGGGCAAGGAAGCGTTGTTGACCAGACTGAGATTGATCTAGTGGCGGAGAACGTCCACCATGGGGAGAAAAGCTATATTCAGAGGCCGTACATTCGCGGCTAAAGCCACCGGGGATGGGGCAATACGATGGAGAAGTTTCCCAAGTGCCAGCTTGGCAGGCAATATAATTGTTGAGAGGCGTGAGTGGGATCTCCTCCAGGTATAGAATGCCACCAAGGAGCCTAGCATCGTTCGTTAGCTTTCCGATGGGAATTCATCTTATTCTTGGGGCGACTGATGCGGACAAGCGAAGAATAATAATAAGCAGAGTCATCTGTGTTGCACCACTTAGCTCCCGCATAGTCTGTAGTAAGCACCTTAATTTTCCAGGATGGCAGGATACGGACAGGAAAGTGACTGTTGTCAGTTTGCCAGATCTGCCAGCCACCCTAAGCTGGCGGTTTCGCTAGTTTGCATGGAACCTTCCAGGCTCAATGCTTGAAGATTCTAGGCACTTACTCAAATTGAAACTGGCCCAGATCTATATTGGATTATATAATACCTGGCTCTGCAACCCTAAATACAAATATAGTTGTGCCTTACCACTCTTATTAATGTTTCTGATTGGGTATCCAGCATCCAGTCTAGCATGTTAAACTGGTGAAGAAATGCATTTAAAATAAGCTTTGTTTTATTCATAATCTTTTATTCACAATTCCCATTCACAATGTTAGTTCGCAGTAATTCTTAAATCAGGTCTGAAACATTGCCTGGGTTTTTCCTAGTGCTCGCTGTGTGCTATATTGGAAGTGATAGGGGCACCTTGGTAAAGACGGTAGACCTGGCGGTCGCATTGTCCTAGTATTTGTGGGATGTACTTGACTAAAGACTTGAAGATTAGCCTTGTATCGTGCTCACGGTCATCGTTCCATGATGGTGGAACAATATCCAGTTTCTGTGGAAGATCTGCATTCCCACAAGCTTTCACCAACTTCTCCGCAATATGACGCTCGTAGTTCTGGCGAGCTAGTGTTTCTCTTTCCTCCTCTCGAAGCGTCAAAACTTCCACTGGCGACTTTTGTACCATGTAACAATTAATCGAACGTAACTTTTGCAGAATGTCAGCCGCAGCAGAATCTGTATTATATGAAAGGCTGTTCCATTTTTCATTTTCCACAGAGTCTCAGTCAAACATTGAGTAATACGTGGTTTTGATCTCTGGCTGAGATGTCATTCTTCAAGCTGATAGACAACCTATCTTCACTTTGTAACAGCGTCATGAATTTGTCCGTATCAACGTGTAGGCTAAGTTGAGCTTCCGAAGGAAGAGCTGCACGTTCGAACTCTTTGCATCGTGATACTCGACTCATGGCAAGTATAGCTTCCAATGACCTAGCCCCGTGGAGAAACTTAGGCATTTCTAGAAGCCCTCTCAGGACCGTTTCGTCAAACAGTGAGATGATTGTTGGACATGACCATGCGCCTCTCCAGCAATGCACGCAGTAGAATAGCACGTCTGATTGAGTACATTTTATCATCATCACCATTTTTGTCAGACCCGTGGAAATCGGCGTATCCTCGCAACCGACTAACGAAATCTGGTCCTTTCGCCTGCTTAAAATGGGTCTGATGCTCACCCTCTGGACCTATGAAATCAGCAAATTTTGAGGAAGTACCTCCAATGAAGACAAATATATAGCGGCCAAGCGGATGATGCATCTGGCCGTGGTCCAGGAATCTGCCATCTTGCATTGGTGCGAGGAAGTATCGCAGCCAGCCGAGGCTCGTGGACTCAAACTCAGCATCAAATTCGTCAAATAGTGCCATAGGCAGCGAGCCAGAGAGGGTCTCATCTCTAATCAACTGAAACGAAGAGAGCAAGTCGGAGTAATGGTTGAATTGAGACAGGTTGAATGGGAGTTCCTCAATCTTGGCCGTATGTGACGCACCCTCAATCACCTGTGTCACAGCAAATGACTTTCCGGATCCAGGCGGACCAAATATACCTATAGAGAGGGGCTCTATTTGTTGGCCTCTTATATATTCCTCAACAAGGTTCGTGATTGCTCGGAACCCTTCCATCTCGCGCCTATCGGCAGTTAATAGCTTGCCAAATCTCGCTGTTTGGACCTGACTTAGCACATCATCCGGTCCATTTTGAACGATAAAGCGAGCTATCTCCATTGTGTCACCCATTACATTGAGGAATATAGACCACCTGTCTGTTGTAGAATTCTCTAGTGGAATGAGGACAGACGCTATTTTATAGTGCTCCCCTTGGTCGTTCATAATCTGAGAGAGTGGATAATGCGGGGTTTCGTTTGGTTCCGCGCAAAATCCCTCGGACACAAGCTCGCGAGCACTATTCAGTCCTTTCTTAATAGCTTTCGGGAGATTGGAGCCCGAGCATCGCTCTCCCAACAAGCTATCTTTGGCAAAAGACGAGACAAGGCCCGCTGTGAATGCTGCTGTTACATCAACCATCCCTCTCGAGTGACGCCAAAGAAAGTCGCCCTCGGCGTTCTTCGGGTCGAAAAAAAAGCGTAGGATTCAGGGTGCCATCTGTATAGTGGATTGCTCCATCACAGCCAAATAGAATAATCAAATGAGGACAAGAAGTGAGGGATTTTAGCCACTCTGTAGATGCGGCATGCTTTACGAAGCTTTCAGCTGTGCTCTCTCATGATAGATGCCGGCTTATTTCCAAACCTTCGGCCCGAAGATCATTTGCGTCGACAATGACAGTAAGCCGACTTTGGCCCTTGCCATTGCCGCTGAAGTCGCGACGCCGAATATAGTTCCAAATCGGACTCGTGGCAAGAGGTCGGGTCATCTTGTATATGACACTCTCGCCTTTGGCTTGACTAAGCCAACCACCACACTTTTTGACATTGCTATCACTTGGGCTTGGCCCTTCAATTACCAGCATCTGTGCTGGTTCGTCGGGTACTGTTTTGTCTAGTATTGGGCAACACCAAGTGGGTTTCGGTTCGGAATCACGACACTGCTCCACTTTGTAGTGTATACAGGATTTGGTATTATGTGAAAATGGGACCAAGTCAAGGATAGTATTTGTTGGACAGGAACAAAAGCCACAAAAGTCAATGTCATCAGTTATTATAGAAGGTGTTGATTGTTTTCGTGACCCGCCCTCGCTTGATCCTTCAGATTGAGCAGGCGTCTGAGGCTGCCGCTCAGATACAGGCCCATATATTTCATGTTCGTGTCCATCCTTGGCATACCGAAGGAGTCAGGCGAGTAACGTCGCTCCTCCTTGACAAAACCCAAAATTTAAGGCTGCATTAGGGCCCTGTGACTGTGGGTACACACGTCCGTTGACGTTAACGTTTCCAGATACGAGGATTTTCTTTGCCATACTTATTATTCTTGGCAGAAGATATAATACTAATGCCCAAGTCGACTAAATGCGGGCTTTGGATGCTGGCCGACCTTGATATAGGAAACGCAAATGAACAACACTATGACAAATACTCTGCGTATATTACGTAGCATTCCACTACTTCCAAAGAACATTGGGAAGGCCACCAATGAATTGCCTCAATTTCTTGCTTAGGCTGGCCTAGATTGCGAGTGTGGGGTATAAGTGGCACAAGTTTAGAGCTTAGATGACATTTCCTTACTAGCTGTGTTTGTTCTCCTGATAGTGTGATGTCAGCCAATCCTTTAAGGGCTTGTGTTGAAGACTTGATTAGATGTGAGTTTCGATGAACTACTTCAAGTAAGCTATGCACTTGCAGGAATTCAGCCAACTCCAGAGAGAATTAAAGCTTTAATTTAAGAAATGAGTTATAAATGTTGCAGGCATATAGAGCGGGTTTCTTAGGTTTAAGTTGGAATAATGTGCAGTTGTAGCTCCCAAGCATCCTACATGTTCTTGTCATAAGATTGTCACTGAACCAAAATGCTGCTGTAGAGAAACAAAGCATAAAACATAATTAGGAATCAGAATCTTAAAGTTAATCTTGAACTTTGCCTTTCACGATCCAGGTTTAGCGTACATTACTTTTGCATGATCAGATTTCCATGAGTTTGCACTCTTTCACCTGATTCTCAGCGCCACCCGAGAGACTACCATTTCTGGTTAGGGCAGAACAATCTTAGCCAAATATATGGGAAAAGATAAAGATCTGGCCTAAAGTGGATTAGTCTAAACGGTGTGGCTCCAGGAGAGAGTTGAAGAGTGTGTAGGTCATGAAAAGTTGAATGTAAGCACCGTATCATAGAAAAATTGCTGGTATTGTCACATGTATATAGCTATGAATGTTTATATTAGTATTGTTATTAGAGAAACTTTCTCACATCACCAGCATAGTATCACAACAATAGTTCAGCACATCACTATATTACTAGTCTGTTAACAGCATCGGAGACGTTGTATGAACAAGACAGAGAGGGGTGTATGTGATTGTGTTTCACCAGACCATTACCAGATAAGATAGGGTACAGTAGTAATAGGTAGATCATCAGCTGAGGAGTTGGGCCATGGCCACCTTACACGCGTGCACATATCACTGCCATACCACTCACAGGCAAATAAGACAACCTTGAATGTTGAAAGGAAAATCATGCTGTATATTATGGGTCACATCTAGATTATTCTAGTCATAAATGCTGTACATACATGAAGGAATAGCTGGAAAGGAACAAGAGCAAAACACAGGAACAAGGGGGAGGCTGGTTTTATATGGTATCGTCCATCCCTGCATACTACGCAGGCGTTGGGCAAGTACTATTCTGTAGGTTCACGCGCGAACCCCATCACACTGTTCCTCAAATAGCTTGTATATGGCGGACAAATCAGTAAATAACATGATGTCAGCAAGGATAGCAATAGCTTTATTCTAGATTCGAGGAAAAGCCTAGCGTGCCTCGCTACGAAATAAGTCTATTATCCTGTTCGGATTTAAGAAAATAGACTAGCCTTGCAGAGTTATGATTCATCCCTATTATAGTACAGTAAGTTCTTAGCCTCCATGTTTTGAATAGTTGATAGGATAGTGGCATGATAATGGAGTGAATAATAATCTTGGCTAGACCCTAGACTGGATGTTGGATACCCAATCAGAAATATTAATAAGAGTGGTAAGGCACAACTATATTTGTATTTAGGGTTGCAGAGCCAGGTATTATATGATCCAATATAGATCTGGGCCAGTTTCAATTTGAGTAAGTGCCTAGAATCTTCAAGCATTGCTGTGCTAGTTCCAGCTACCTGTGGATCATCTGTATGTGGTGCTACACACATCTGAAGTGCAGTATCTATTGTATTGTTATAGCCATTGTAATAAATTACATGGATTATAGCTGTTCCGTAGCTTATCTAAATACAACAGCTGAGACTTAGGGCTCCGGAGAGAAGGGGGCAGTAAAATATTTGCACCAGTTTTGCAATCGGCTGTACTGCCTGGCAGGACAGTAGCATCTTAGGTGCGGTACTGGACTATGCGGAAGCATCGCAGAGATTTCGAAGCCGCGCGCCACGAGGGCCGCAGAACAGAGCACCAGGCACTGGCCAACACAGGCCTTGACGAGGCTCCAAATTCGTCAGAAAAGTAATAGTTCATTGTAAATAGCCATGCAGATAGAGTAGATAGTAGCTCTTCCCGCATATCGCCTTGAGGCGAGGGGTCGGCGTATGAATTATCATCATCATCATCATCGGCTGTACTGCATGAGATACTGTACATAAACAGCATCCTTGTCTACAGTATACTGTATAACTACAGTCCTTCATTGTTTGTCGAGACTGGTGTTGAGGGGCTTTTACCGTAACGTACCGAATTAGTCTTAAGTTGTTTATTATCTGTCATACGGCCAACATTTCCTACCGACATAAGGAATGTGGCTAACTCTACGCCTAAACTTCATGCGTCTTATGATATTAAGTAGTGGTGGGCTTAAACCACCAAGATGGCTGGCTGGCTGCAGCAAGCCTGCAATCACCAGGATCCAATTTAACATGTGGGCTATTCGGGCTCATGGAAATACCTTCTGGACAACCACGGAGCATCACGCCGATCCCGAAAAATATGTATCTAAAATGCACCCACGCCCAATGAACACTGTTGCGAGGTAGGTTGTCCAAATTGAGTACTGACGTCCGCGCCTCGATATAGCAACATCTGCAGCAACTTTTCGTGTCTCCCATCAAATGCCGCTTCGAGGGCATTGCTGCAATATCAATTTTCGGTGTTGATATCGGCACCGTGTTCCAATATCATTCGTACTATGTCAACTATGTCATGGCCCTCGATAGATGCCGCCTGGAGGGCATTGCCGTAATGCCCACCTTGCGCGTTCACTGTTTCCAACAAGTTTGTATCACTAATTTCGGCCAAAAATATATCACTAACAACAGACTGGTCCTCATAAACTCGCGTAGTATAGAGGTGATCCAGAATTATCATCCCCTGGCGAATTATCCCACGGTTCCCCAGGTGGATCCATATCATATAACATGATCCAATTCATAAAGCGATTTTTGTTTTGTAGGAGAAGCAGTTGTAACAGCTCTCCAACCTTCAACTTGCCCTCTTGAGCACTGTGTAATGATGATACCAGTATTCAGCGGTGAAGCGAGCTAATGGAAACTCCTTCACCCTTGGCTGCATCCGGCACAGCACTCCAAAGCATTGGATTTAGGAGATACATAACAGATATTCGTGCTATGTTATGCATCTGCAGGGCCACTATGAATAGCGAAATACTTTGCTTTCTGCAGTTGGGTGCGTTCAGTTTGAAGATATTTCTGGACAGAGAAAAGAGCGATGCGAGCAATCGAGGTGTTTTGTTCAGTTTTATCCCCCTTCTCTTCAATCTCCACAAGTCCAAGGCAGATATCAATAATATTAACTTGTTCCGACAATTGGCCACCATCAAGGTGCGGTGATGCACCAAGATCGACTGCATGGGCTTCAATAAGCTCATTGACAGTGAGCGGCCGAGTGAGAGAGTCAAAACACAGTTCGAATTCGGTGAGCATCATCAATATACATTCCGTCGGTACTGCATAATATTTTCTCGTACGTCTCATCAAAATTACGAGGCAAAGAACGTAGGCAAGAGTCAACTTGATTGCGGTTTCGTGCCCGTCTTAGTGCCTTCAGCTGACATTCAATGTATCTGAACCTATTTGGAATCTCAATAAAATTCCTTTCAAAAGTCATAAAGCCATCGTTGTTATAGAATACCTACACTCCCTGCGCACGCTGTGTCAATTCTTCTGGATGTTACTATGGAGACCTTCCCCCACCCCTGAGTTCGTGACCGAACTTGAGCTGATCAGAGATAGAATTAGCAATGTCTCTGTCTATCTCCATATTCTTCATCGACAGATCCTGGCTATAAGAAGGGCTAATGGATCCACCGATATCAACATCATTGCGACTGGTCCCCAAAAGATGGCGATTAGTTAGGTAAGCACCACTTCCGTATCTTCATCCCCCTCAAAAATGTCTTCCCTTTCACGCTTTTCAAGTCGGTGGCCGGGTCTTGCGTGGAACATGTGACATTCTATATCGAGCTCCTTGATGACTTCCTGGCAATTTTGTGCGGCCTTGTACACTTCTCGGAGCAGCTCTTCTGCGCCAGCACGATATTGAAGATTCTGGAGTGCAGTTTCCGGGGATCGAATGATGCCCTGAAGAGATTGAAGGTTTTCTAATTTTTGCCAAAGTCTGTGTCCCTGTGCTTATACACGGAGTAAAAATTAATCAAAGATTGTGTGACTTAGACACCAAATGACAGCAACCCCGCAACGCCAGATGCAATCGAAAGTGGACCGGCCATTGCGAAAATTGGTAATCACTTAACACGAAATACGGGGATTCAATGGCCCTGTCTGGTTGGGGTGGATGGAGAGGCGGCAGATTGTACTGTCCACTTCCGAGTAAAGCTTTCCAGATTATCACTTGTGTGCGGGCGAGTGACGGGAGCGGAGTGACCTCTCACCAGAAGCTGGAGGTCCAGATCTGTTGCTTGGTCTATTGGTAACTAGTCCTTGGTGTTTTGGGCCTAGCTTTACGAAGCAGGTCATGTGGTATCGCAACCCAATCAACCCATAAGTTGGAGGGGGGGAAAGGAAACACAGGCATGGAAATAAACGCTGCTCTCTGTATTACCTCTATATTTCTCCAGACGATCCGGATGCGAAGGATCACTCCTAAGCCAAACACCATAAACTACCGCCATGAAGCGCGATATCCCTGATCTGGCTTACTATTGAATGAAATCTAATTTTAATAGTTTTAGGTATAGTCATGGCAGCGCATACATCACGTGCGGGAACCGTTTCCCATGCCTACTCGCTCCTTGTTCCCCCCTTGATAGCCATTGTGGTTACTTCAACCAGATAGATAGGATGCTCCGGAAAGCATGGTCTTTCCTCGATAGTTCCTCCGTGGCCTTTCAGGTTATATCAAACGTCCATATTGAGAATAATCGACAGGGTTTATCGTATGAAGCCCTCATTTGTAGTAAACAACTTATCCTCGCAGGCGATATTGGCCGTTTAGCACCCTAGAGATATATCCTACTCTTTCTGAAACTGATGCTATTGAAAATAAAATACACAAAAACCGCCAAGAAAAGGCAAAGCTTTCTATAAATGTGTGGACGGAGGAGTTGGGTGCCATCATAGGATCTGCGTCCGGAAAAACTAAGCTAGTTAACACGAACAGCCAATTTGAATGAGACACAGCATAAGCTTTTCGATAATCTCCGGGGGGAAGCTTGTTGTCGAAGAAGAGTGCAACCAGATTTTCGCTCAGTCATTCACGATAAGGTCGCAGACTTAATACAGAGTTAAGACTAAGCTTCCCACAAGGCTGATAGTCTTTTGGGTGACCTATGTAAAAGCGATTACCTAGCCCACATTGGCCATCATTAGAAACATCGGATAAGGATCTTTTTGTCCCTTGGTTTTCATCTATGACAAGCACGGATCAAAAGTACCAGCAGAGCATGAAATTCCCTCTTAACACCTGTCTAGTAATGAAGAACGCATCTATAGGGCTATATACCTTTGTCTGATTAGTTTTTGGTAACTTTGTCTTTGTACTTTATTATACTTGCACTCTACATGGTGTTTTGAGGAACTTTGAAAGTGCTTATACTAATTGAATATCCGAGTGCATTGTTCAACCTCCCTTCGTCCTGGCCAGCATGAATGCTAGGGTTACATACAAGAGGAAGAAAAGAAATGATCTGGCGTATAACGAGAAGCAGTATGATAAACCAACAGTACAAGTGTTGAAAAGAGATCGGTGTAGCTATTCTATGACTAAAGCTTTTTCCTAGAGGTCAATATGTTTTAGTTTACGCGTACTCGCATTCTAGTAGTAGAGAGATTTCATGTTTCGCTCTAATGCGAAACAGGAGTGATGTATTAGGCGGCACTCTGGAAGATGATCGACAGTAACCGCTAAGTGAAGATCAAAGTACCCTTGCCAGCATACCGAGGTGCTTTAACATGCATGACGTCGGACAAGCTTTTACTATACTTTCCCAAGGTGATACTGGTTTTGAACTGCAAATCATTATTTGAGTATGTAACGGACAGAGACAATTTGCAGGTTAACATGTCGAAGCCACGCGTTCTACAGTCCCAGAACGAGCCTTTGACGTAACTCAGGAGCCCTACCTGTACCCATATATTCGGACCTGCAGGAGTGCCCCACCTAAAATTAGCAAGAATGAATTCCGAGGCAAGGCATACTGAAGATCAACAAGGGCAAGCTCAACGCGTGACACCTCTCACTCACCACTTACGTCGCTTGCGGTCAGAGGCACACTAGGCGTTGAGGGCTCAACTAGAGGAAGGTGTTAGCTCCCACCTAGTCCATATAGGATAAGATCCTCTGCAACATTTTCTTCTACGTATAACATCATTTGCTGGATAACCAGTACTTCTGTAATAGGTAAGATGCATTCCTCGGACATTGGGATCGAGATGATCGGCAGAACCACTACCAGTTCTGTAGATAAAAGTCCGTCCTGCATACCAATGCATCTATAGCATTACCTATCACCAAGGGATAAACCTGTTTATCTTTATTGTACAACTCAGCACTTTCTCGGAAGGAAATTCGCATTGGAGCCAGATGTATCATGGAGACCAGACTTATTTGTGCAACTATATCCCGTGTTGTTCCTTTTTCATTATCCCATCTGAGGTGCCTCATAATTCTCCTTCCTCATTGATAGTCTTGCAAAATGGAGGACAAGGATGGTGAAAAGACTCCGCAAATTCTCTGCAAAGAACCGAGTATTCCCTCCCCGACGGAATCCTCACAGGCCTTCGATCTGGAGCGCGAATACAACGACCCCAAGTTACCTCCAGTAGATGGAGGGCTTCATGCATGGCTTTTCCTGGCAGCATGTTTCATGGTGGAAGGGACTGTATGGGGTGAGTTGATCAACATCTGGCTTGGCCTGGCAGCATCTGACGAGTACCTGGGTCAGGATTCGCGGCTTGTTTCGGTGTATTTCAGAACTACTATCGAAATGACCCGGCATTCCAAGGATCCCATGCTATCGCCGCAATAGGGACCTGTGCAATGGTTAGTAGGAAAGATGTTTCCTATGGGTGTATGTCAATTTGCTAACGACGACGGATGTAGGGCATGGCGTATCTGCTGTCACCCATCGTGATGGCCATCTTGATAGCCCTCCCAAGACTGCAACGATGGGCGTCCACAATAGCCTTCGTGGTAATATCACTTTCCCTCGCACTGAGCTCCTTCTCGAAAAACGTCACGCACCTGATTTTATCCCAAGGGATTGCATACGGCACAGCAGGCTGCTTCGCCTACGCGCCATCAATCCTGTTCATGCCAGACTGGTTCGTGAAGAAGAAAAGTCTCGCCTTCGGCATAGTCTGGGTAAACCACAGCCCCCAGCCCATTTCACTTATCTCCCCATCAAACCAAACAGAAACACTAACGAACGCCCCAACACAGAGCGGCTCAGGCCTAACCGGGATAATCTTCCCCTTGATCCTCCAATCCCTCCTCGACAACTACGGCTGGCAAACCACCCTCCGGATCTGCTCCGTAGCTATATTCACCCTCGCCGCCCCCTTCATGCTCTTCCACAAACCCCGAATCCCCCGCCGAACTATCAACTTTGCCCAACTTGACCTCAGCTTCCACCGCAACCGCACCTACCTAATCTACCAAGCCGGCAACATAATTCAATCCGTCGGCTTCTTCCTCCCCCAAATCTTCCTACCCTCATACGCTGAACTCCTTGGCGCAAAAGGCCTCCAAGCCTCCTCCACCATAACCGTCTTCAACATCTCCAACATGTTCGGCTGCATCTTCATCGGCTACCTAGCCGACAGGTGCCACGTCACAAAATGCATCCTAATCTCCACAATCGGCGCAGTACTCTCTACATTCCTGCTGTGGGGGCTAAGCGTCCACCTCGCCCCACTGTATCTCTTCAGTGTCCTGTACGGCTGCACAGGGGGTAGTTTCTCCTCGTCTTGGTCCGCTACTTCGAACGAGGTGCGGAAGAGCCACCCGTCTGCGGACGTGAGCATGGTGTTCGCGTTTATGGAGACTGGGCGCGGAATCGGGAATGTAGTTAGTGGGCCGTTGAGCGAGTCGTTGTTAAAATTGGGGTTGTGGGAGGGGACGGCGTTCGGGGCGTATGGGACTAGTTATGGGGTTTTGGTGGTGCTTACTGGGGTTACGACGTTGATGGGTGGGGTTTCGGTTGTGGCAAGGACTTTTAGGTGGATTTAAATTCCCCATCATTACTTGTTTATTTGTTTATCGAGGTGTTTCGATGGGATGTGGATTGGTGTAGGTAGGGGTTGTATAGGGATGTTCGGGTAGTCTTTGGGGTAAAAGGTGAGGCGCAAGTTATAGTTGGCATATCGGATATTTCAACTTATGAACTTATGCAGTATGTTCTTGTATGATTATTTCAATAACTATCTCCGGTCTATCATATACATTGGGAAAAGAAAAAGAAAGGAACACTATACACATGATCACATGATCATATAATCATCAGAGCCAGATATATGCACCCAAACACCCGAAACTCCACTGTTGCAAATATGTAAACGGGAAAAGAAATGCAAACATCCACATCCCTCCACGCCGCTTTCTCCTATGCACGCACAGCTGCCATGCCGATCCCTCCGGGGGTTGGGTGGTGATTCACACCGCAAACCTGCGGGTATTATGCTAAATTTATATACTCTCACGAAGCCTCTCCTGCCAGGTCTTCGGGCGGGCCGTCTCCCATGAGTAATTTTGGAGTCGTCCGCTCTGGAGATCAGCTTCGAGGGGGTGTACGAAGCCGGTGCGGAACCAAAGCTTGTGTCCGGCGTACAGGACCACGAAGATGATGACGCAGATGTAAGCAACGAAGAAATCGGAGACGTTGAAGGTGGGGATCCACGCGGTGAATCCTTGGGTCAGGATGATTAGGATGCTGAAGAAGAGTCCGTACCAGGTCAGATAGGGCTGCCAGGCGGCCTTGTAGGGCAGGGTATCGCGGGAGATGTCGCGGGCCTTCAGGGCGCGCATGAACGCCAAGTGGCTCAGACTGATGGCTGTCCAGCAGATGAATCCGGCCACGCTGGAGATGTTAACTAGCCAGTTGAAGACCTTTCCACCGGACTCGGAGACGTTCATAAAACCGAGGAGGCCGAAGGCGGCTGTGAAGGCGACGCTGACGTATGGTACACCGCGGTGAGTGACCCAACCGAAGCAGGCGGGGGCGAACTTTTCCTGGGCCAGACCGAGGAGGACACGGCTGCCACTGTAGACGTTGGAGTTTGCGGCCGAGAGGACGACGGTCAGGAGCACAGCGTTGATTAGACTGGGGAGGGTGCTTACGCCGGCGAGCTTAGCGGCGATGACCATGGGGGAAGCGGAGGCGTCGTTGGAATCGGTGATGAGGTTAGGGTTGTCGTAGGGGACGAGCAAGCCCATGAAGAAGATGGTAAGGACGAAGAACACCAGAATACGGATGAAGGTCTTGCGGATAGCGGAGGGAACGGTCTTCTCCGGGTTCTCCGTCTCACCAGCTGCAACACCGACCAACTCAGTACCTTGATAGGAGAATCCAGCCTGTACTAGCACAGCCCAGAAGCCGATGAACTTGGCAATCGGCTTCGAAGAGTCGACTAGGTAAGGGGCAAATGCTCCGGGTTCTTTCCATGTGTGGAATCCAAGGTAACCCTGCTTTCCAACACCAGCGTCGATGCAGATAGCGAAAATCATAAATCCGATGACGGTAACCACTTTAATCATCGAGAACCAGAACTCGAGTTCTCCATAGAATCCGACTGGCAGGAAATTGAGCAGAGTTATCACCACCCAAAAGATGGCAATAAAGATCGCTATAGACAATTGATGGTCCCAATATTGAATGATCAGGCCGGTAGCAGTCAATTCCACAGCGTACGTCGATGCCCAGTTAAACCAGTAGATCCAACCCATCGCGCAACCCAGACTAGGGTCCACGAGTCGTGCCGTGTAGGAAGTGAAAGAACCGGAGATTGGAAGGTATGTTGCGACCTCACCTGCACTACATTAGTACCCCGCATGCATCTGATGCCACAGATCATGGAAATTTACCTAGCGACGACATGACCGAGAACACGATAGTACCAACGAAGATATAAGCGATGAGAGCACCTGCTGGGCCCGAGTGTGCGATAGCAGTTCCGCTACTGATGAACAGACCCGTTCCAATTGTACCACCTATGACACGGTTAGGTCCGATTCCGACCACCTTGTACATTTCATGCCGACTGACCGATAGCAATCATCTGCAAATGTCTGCTCTTCAGCTTCCGCTGCAATTCTAGCGGGGGGGTATCTCCTCCAATTCCATCCTTCTCTGGATCTTCATTGCCCGTGCCACTCTTCTTGCCGAACTTCTTCAAAGGGTTTGTGTCCGTCTTGGGAGTAATCTTGTCATGGTTGTCCCCGGCTGCGGTTTCCGTCACCTGTGGCGCAGAGGTGACCTCGTCGATGGCCATCCCGGCCGTCTATTATGCTGTATGTCGGATAAAAGAGAGTGACCTGTAACCGGAAGGAAGGTGAGGGGATCGGGACGCGATTACGTGCATGCAACGAGTGTCGATAATCTGACTCAAAGAGAGAAAAAGCTTTTTCCGAACAGATACTACGTTGGAGATGTTGCGCGGTTGGGATTTTTCTTTTCTTTTCTCTTTTTCTTTTTTTCCGCCGCAACTGGAAAAATTTCATTGAGTCAAATTGGAATAAGACTCCGCAGGAGATCCACTCGCAGACTTTTCACTGGCCGGGAGGCGCCGAGCCATTATGTAAAATCGAACGGCCAGCCGATGAGAGCGGAAGGTGGTCTTTCGTAGTGGTGCCATTGCAACAGGACCGGTTTGCCTAGCGGATAGAATGCCGATATCGTCGCCTTCAGGGCGTGGTATAATATCATTCCTCAGCATCTTCTCAATCCGAGAGCCTTGAATTCTTTGTGATGTGAGGGAGCCCATGTGCTGTGGGGTCTGAACAGCACCCCTTGATGCCAAGACCTTGGACCCCTCGAGTTCGAAAAAAGTTAAGTGAGCTGTGATCTGTAAAACACTATCTGAAGGGCTCTTAACGAGGCAAACTCCAACATGCTACCAAAGTGGCGACTGTAGAAGAGCTTTGGTGGATGTTGCCCACTTTGGTTTACTTAGGGCAAACTGGTTGCCCCTCAAAGCAATGATGGCAAAAAATTCGAGGGCAAAAGCCTGTTTAGGCTTAGTGTCGGTTGCTGTCCGGGATTAGGCCTCATACGGGATGGACCGAGATCCGATATCTCTTGTCGGTCACATGGTGATAACGTGGCCTGAGAGAAGAAGAGAAGATTAATAATTTTAATATAATTTAATACCAATCAAGCAATCATGATAGTTAAGTAGTGATAATGTAGCCAAGCCTGAGGCTAATCGTAAATCCGTCCAAATACGAGTCATGTCAAAGAAGGAGTTCCGGGCTAATATGTAAGGGCCGACATCTCTTTGTTCCTACGAGTCGTTTATGAACTATCATATTGGCTGCTGTACTAGGATATATGATAAATGGTAGACTTGGCGAATTTAACTTGTTCTTTAGAATGATTGGAATTCATATAGCCAATATATTTCCCGGTATATAGATCTAATCTCCACAATCTCCAATAGAGTCATAACAGTACCATGGGTATATAGGACTCTAAGCGCCTAGATTAGTTAATAGCGCCGACAGACCCCTATACCTGTTCATATATCACATCTATAGTACATATCCCAATTCCAAATAGACACAAGATCAAAGAAACCACCCAGCCGCCCATTTAGACAAACAAATTTCCAACCCCAATCGCATTCACCCATGTCGTGACCCATCCCTTCGAATCTCATACATCGTCGTAATCTGAATGCCCCCTTTCGGTTGCCTCCCAACCTCCTCATCCGACAGACTCGCAGACATCCCAGCATGTACATCATTGACGAATGTATTATGTCCGGCGTCGCAGAGAATGAACTCGTCGCTTGATCGCTCCCTTAGCTTCGTACCCCCAGTAGACCCCAACTGACTGGGTTTGGACTTCCCAAAGACCGACAAACTGTAGCTCTGCTTTGCGTTTCGAGAGGAGGGATCCTTCGAGGACCCGAGCCAGACCGAGCTGCTGAAGAGGGGTTTGATGCAGGGGGCGTTGACGGCGATGATGGCGACAAACTGTAGATTTTGGTTAGTGTACAAATGTTCCCTAGATTTTATCAGAAGAAGAGTAGAGATACCGTTTCACGGATAGCCCAGATGGTACTGGTGTTAATACTATCGATGCTCTGCAAAGAGATAATACAGCGGAGAAGCGTCGCGATCATGACGAAGACACCGCTGCAGAGGAGGACCCCGATGATCAACTTTCTGGTTGTCGGTTAGTTCAAAGTTGCGATTTATGTCTGTTGGAGACTACATACCGCCGCAATGCGAGTCGTACTTTTGCTAGCAATGGGACGGGAATGCACACCAGGATCGCGTCGGTTCTATCAAAATTAGCGCTCGTTTGCGTCGTAAAGCTGGGGTACGAACGAGACGTTTGCCACCGCGATCACGATATAATTCACATAGCCGGCAGAGCAGTTAACTGCAAATTTGTAGTTAGAAACGGTGTGAGATGATGAGAATCATGAGGGATCCTTACGACCGGGATCAGGATAAACCTGCCAGTTCTTCTCCAGTGGGCGACAGTGCAAAAATATAGTGAAAATGACTGCTGTGTATGTGCATGCGCAAAGCACGGCGTTGAATTTGACGAGCTTTTGTTGGACGAGGCCCAGTCTAGGAGGCGAGGTCAGTTACATAATTTTGATCTAGGGACTTCGTGCGTGTTTACGTTAAGCGATTGTAGAAGTACAACATGCACGCTTTCAGCGACCAAATCAGGGTCACATAGCAGGTCCATCCCGCAAGAAGGCATTTCGAGCCACGGGCGAGTAGTTCAATTTGCTCCGGGGTGAGTGAGGCCCTCTGAGTATCACTGAGACCGATGTTGGTGCCATATTGGCCTGTGAGAAACTGTTAGTCGATGATGACTGATACTGGAAAACAAATACAAGAGCTCACCGATCAATTCCAACATGGTTAACTCTGCCTGGCGTATGTTGGCGTCATGCTATGATACCTCGACATTAGGAAAAACTCACTGTCCAAAAGGCAAGAACTACAAAAGCGAAATAGTCATCTCCTTGCCAGTTTTTGATTCCCACCACTCTGAAGCGCGCGAAAATGCGAAGGAGGATGATGACGGTGCCTATCAAGTATTCTGTCCATGCTTCTGTCTGGAAGGGCGTTGCCTGACCCATCGTGGAAAACGGAAGGTATGCTGCAATGAAGTAGAGCCGCCGATGGTACTGTTCAAGTTAAAATACCTTCTGACTTAAGGCTTAGAAGTAGCATTGTCTAAAGTAAGCCAATGAATAAAATGATGGGGAGATTGGTGGGAGAGCACTGCTCCTAATCTGGGTCATTGGTAGATGCTCCGGAGAGCTAGTTACTTCCGTCCTGTAGATATATCTGAAAAGGAGACAGAGTTTTATTTTCTTATTCCTAAAACTAAGAGTTTAGCTAGGGCAGCAAACCATCTCTTGGAAAGACTGAGAATTACAAGTTGGAGAGTCCAAAGGACAAAATACGACTTAAGAAAGGAACTGATCCGTCGGACCATGTTTCCTGTATTGTGGATCTGCACCGTTTTGGACAAGATTTTCCTACAGGCTGGTATAGATCCCGACAGTCAGGATACTCTTACTGATAGGGGTATTCTACGGGTTACACGGTGGATATTAAGTGAACTCTTCTACCGTGACTATTTCGCTGTGCAACAGGATCTTCGTGGGATTTGGGAATAGCGACGACAATGTTCTCGGATGGTGATCTCGTCTCACCTGCACTCAGGATTGGAGTCTGTTTGGGTGACATTTGATAATCGGTGGCGACGAGCACCCCTGACAAGGAAAATTTAATAGTCCAGGGCTAAGAGGAGCTTTAACGAGCTGCAAAACAGAAGGATGTGACTATTTCCCTTAGACTGATGTCGCCTAACAGCTTTCATTTTCGCATCTGGTTGAGTAAGTTGGTGGGGAAACTTTATGATTTTTCTCTTGGTGCTTTCTCCAATACCGAGGAGTAATAACACTACATACGGAGCTATACTCCCCACAACAAGGAGTCTGTTGGCTGAAGAGGAGGCCATCTAGTAATAAGATGGTTCATTAGGTTACGATTAAGAACATGTGACAGGTGATACCTGACCCTTAATAAGTGTGCGGAGTATACGACTAGGCCTACCTATCTGGGCCGATCCGTTCGCAGGCCCTGATCCGAGTTTAGCTTCGAGATTGTAATTTTACCAGCCGTGTGTGTTCCACCACTGAGAAAGTCGCCGCACACTGGAAAGAGTGGAGACAGACATCGTGTCCGTGTTGGGGCGGAAAAGGGAGTGCGGAGCGGCGATCTTGTGCTGATCATTTCGTATCTAGCCCCAACTGACTATCAATTCATAGGGATCATCTCTTCTTGACAGAGGAATGTACCAAGTGATATTTTGATATAAATAAGCATCTGAGAACGCTCCATGAAGCGGGATTCGGGTATGAAACTGATCGGGACGCAGACTACGTAACAGGGATAGAGTTGCATGCATTATTGACAGGGTTTTACATAAGATCGTCGTCGATTTTTTCGTATGGTGCGACGGTTAGCATGGGCTTAGTGGCGTCTTGGCCCCTCAGTTGTAGAATTATCCACGACTGAGGATTTATCTGCAACCATACTTAAAAGGCTAGAGTAAGGACGAATCACAATTGCTTTGTCTTTGGTTGAGGATCCAGAGGTTGATGATGAGTGACCTTAAAATGGTCTGGGGTCAACAGTGCAAGGATCAGACCGAGTAATGGCCGAATATAATTGCGCAATGGCTGGTAGACCATCACTTCGGTCCATTCATCAGCAGTTGACATAGCTACCCTTTAGACCCTAGAGCCAAGCGAGCTATGACGAAGTTAGCCCCATGGTCAGCGTATCCTCCTGTTCCCCTCTTTTTCAGACTACCTATATCCTTGCATTGGAACACAGATGGCTTGACCTGTATCCACGTAGTGGGGGGACGGCTACGAGTTTGAAAAATCTCACACCACAAGCGGGGGATCGGTGGGTATGCATACATAAAAGGTAACGATATGACGGAAAAGCAGCTGGAGGAGATTCCAAAGCAGGTTCATTTGTTTTGCATAATCTTCTGTTAACCCCTTCCCCCTCGGTTAAAGTAGAAACACAAAGCTATTATGATGAGCTCGATCCCCGAGTCGGCGGATATTTACGATTACATTATCTGTGGGTATGTAAATGTTGCAGCCAGTCGATTAACCGTTTAAATGGACGTTTGAGCTCATGATTCAACCGGCAGAGGCGGCACTGCAGGATGTGTTGTTGCTGGTCGCCTTGCTGAAAACCCTGATGTCAAGGTGCTGGTGATCGAGGCTGGTCAACATAATAAAGATCTGGAGAATGTGCACATGACGGGAGGGTATAACTGCTGAATATACGTCTGTTCGACTCAAAAGCTAAATTTCGCAGATGGTCGAATAACTTCGACTCGGAAACCGACTGGAACGTAATCACGACGCCTATGAAAGGAGTCGATAACCGACAGGTAAAACTAAGCCGAGGTCGTTTTCTGGGAGGCTGCAGTGGATGCAACGGCACACTGTGTGTTCGAGGTAGCAAGCAGGACTACGATGATTGGGAGCTGGAAGGTTGGAGTGGGGAGGAATTCTTTGCCGCGATGAGAAAGGTATAGTTTTCGGAATTCGCACGGAACTTTTATACGACTGACAGTAAATTATCTTAGTCGGAGACGTTCCATCCCAAAGACTGGTTCGAGGCCGATCCTAAGAGCCATGGATACGATGGCCCTCTCCATACAGAACCTCACGATCTTGCCCCCATCTCGAACCTCCTCATCGACTCTCTTGTCTCCCAAGGCATTCCTCTACACCATGATATGTTCAGCACTGGTGACATTCCCCACGGATGCGGACATGCACCCCGTACCGTTCATAAAGGTATCCGTACTACTTCAGCGGATTTTATCACTAACGACTACCACCGTTCCAATATCACCATCCAAACCGATACTACAGTCGACCACATCGTCTTAGAGGAGGGGTCAGATGGGCTGCGGGCTACAGGTGCCGTGACAAGATTGGCCGATGGAACTGCGCGCGCTTTCCATGCGAGAAAGGAGGTTGTTATTTCCAGCGGCGCTTACTGCAGCCCCGCAGTTCTCATGCGATCTGGAATCGGAGCACGGGAGGAGTTGGAAAAATTTGATATTCCCTGCAAAGTCGACCTTCCCGGTGTGGGCAAAAACCTCATGGACCACCTGGTAAGCCTGTCAAACCGCAGACAGTCTCAGCGTTTGCTAACCTGAAAACCCCCAGATCGTATTCATGTTCTACGAAACTGAAAAAGAAGGCCTAACGACCGACTGGCACGTCTACCACGACGACAACATGGAGAAGACATACATGCAATGGAAAGAGCACAAGGCCGGCTTCCTCTCAACCTTCCCCTTCGGCGTATTCGCATTCGCCCGTATAGACGAGCGCCTCAAAGACGAACCACTGTGGCGAGATGCCCCCCGTGAACCCGGACGTGACCCAATGGGCCTGACACCCAAGCAACCTAACATCGAGTTCTTCACTACAGAGTGCTACGGCGGTCCCAAGCAGTACAACCAATTCCCTGTGGATCACAAACACGCCTTCTCGATGATCGCAGAACTTTTTGCCCCGAAATCCCGTGGTACCGTTACCTTGAAATCCAAGGATCCCCTAGAAAATCCCGTTGTCGACTGCAACTATTTGGCCGATCCAATGGATCTCCTGGTTCTAACCGAGGCATGCCGCTTCGGCAACGAGATTGTTATGGACGGTGCCGGAACTAAGGACATCGTCAAGGGATCGTGGCCTTCCAACCTGACTCACCATACCTATAGGACTCGCGAGGAGTGGGTTCCATATGTCAAGGAACATGCTACAACATGTAAGTTTTCCGGGCCTCTTCATCAGACTTGAATTCTAATGTGAGTAGGTTATCACGCCTCAGGAACTTGCGCCATGGGCAGGGATGATAACCCCCATGCTGTCCTAGATAATAAGCTAAGGGTCAAGGGAGTGGCTGGACTACGCGTTGCGGATTGCAGTGTGATGCCGACCTTGCACGGTGGTCATACCCAAATGCCAGCATATGGAATTGGAGAGCGATGCGCTGATTTCATTAAGGAGACTTGGTAGTGGTTGTCCTCCATTATTCATCGGGCCATATGGAGGCGTGCCAACAATGTTTCTTTTACTTTGATGTACTTTGACGTACCTTGCATCAAAGAATCATAAGTGCTTGATGACAGTATAATATCTAACTTATAACCGTAAACAGGGCAATACACTAGTCTTGAAAGATAATGTCAAGGACAGCCTCCGAAGTTGGATGGAGCTATAAATCCTTCTCATTATTGCTCACCATATGAGCCCTATATATCCGAAGAACCAAAATAAGCAGATAAATATATTAAAAAAACCAAAACAGACAGAAAAAGAAAGAGGAGATCCGTCCAAAGGTGTAGATTTTACGATACACAATATGTTCGGGTGATTCCCAGGAAATCTCCAACCACTACAAAACAGAAGATTAAAAAGGGATCATCACATAATTGGCTGTATAGGCAGCCGAGCCTTTCACTGCAACTTCGGAGTCCTCGTTCCTAATATAATCTTCGGGCTAGGTAGGGTCTCCGTCAAAGAACAATACGTACCAGAAACGGTCGCCCGAGCCATCAAGCACTGGATAGAGGTCGGCCAATTTTACATTCGTTAGGTGTACAGGACCATATACTAGAATATGAATTGGTTGAGGTATAATGCCTAAGGCGTTCGCATTGTTTCGTTAATGTACTACTCATGCCAACATTTGGCGTTGTATCTGTCATATTTTGCACTGACATGCCTAATCACGTCTGTTGAATAGGAGTTCGCTCTCTATCCAGCTGTCTGGAGGGGAAGGTCTATACGGACGAGTCGTCATATTAAATCTGAGTAGGATAAGCTGCCCCGACCACCGAGAGGAGGGTGTTGACCAGTACAGATGATAGCGTCATTCCTGCAAAAAGACATTTCAACGGAAGGCTGATTCAGAAAAAAAAAAAAAATAAATAAGGAAGAATTTACTGAATGGTATTCTCGGCGGTTCTTTCACGATATTTATATCTTGTTTCTTGTCAATTGATCTACTGTACCTGTCATGACATTATAGGGCTACTAACGGTGATGAAGATTTGCTTCCGCATATATCCGATAAACCACATACGGAACTCTAAGATGTCACGACTTCCCTTCTCCTCACCGAAAAAAAGAGAAGGGCGAACGGCCGAACGATGTAGAAAGGTAAGTGCAGGCCGTATACCCAGGTTGTTATGTTGCGCCAAGCTTCTGCTCAGATATGTAGCACTTAAGCTTGAGTTTTGTTAAGACAATTGTAAACGTTAATATATGGAACCTGACAGCATGACACTAGCATAGCCTTCCGCAAGGCAATGATTCCCAATGATTGTACTAGCAGACTATCGGAGTGGCTAATCAATGGCATTGGTTGTTGTACTAGTCCAAGGAGGCTGTCCATAGAGCGATAACGCATACGGGTTGATTCATCCACATAGCTTGCTACAAGGTTCTACCCTAAGCATCAATTCCCAAGAGGTGATTGGTCCACGGGCTGTTAGCTAGTATGGCTCATTAGAAGAATATTTTGATTATCCAGCTACCCTAGGGACATGGGTGCATTGGCTTATTGTGAAGGGACCCCTAGGGAGGTGGAGGGCTCCTCAAAGGGGCAAGCAGTTCACAAAATATTCAATAAATGAGTGACAAGAATATCAACACAGGAAGTCAATAAAGAAGGTTAATTTACCTGTGACTTTACGGCAACGGCGTGGCTCTTTGTATTCAGACGCACTGAGAGTAGTAGGGGCTCCATTCGCGGCTAGTAGTGCCGGCTTCGCAAGAAACCGACCCAATCTAGCCTTGACCACCGCTTCGCATGTATTTCTTGATAGTGCCATTCGTTGAGCAGGTGTAGGTAGGAGCAGCAGGGGACCTCGGCACTGGGGTACTGGAAACTTTGGAGACAGTCACGAGAGTAGTTGGAGTTGCAGGAGACGCGGCAGCGGCGTTGCTGACAGCAGGGGACGGAAATAGCAGCAGAAGCAGCAGTAGCATTGCCGGACTAAGCTGAGGGACTGGGGAGATCATAGGAAGTGATTCGGACTGGGCTATATGTATTGAAGTGGATGTTGGGAACCTCAGGCTTGTAAACACCAGGGATCTTGACTAGAGGACCAGGAGATCCCGATCCAGAGGCGGTGACCTCGATTTGAGCGCAGGTGAAGTAGAAATCTGCATTCCCGCTGAAGCCTCGGTGGATACCGATGTGCTCAACGCGAACAAGGTACTGACCTGGCGGAGTATTCTCGAAAGATGCGGTATCCCTATCCCAAGTGCACCAATCGGTGTTCTTCAAGCCACCAGAGATATCGCTACAGACGCCTTCTTGGTAAACCTTGAACCAACCGCCCGGTCCGTCATAGACTTTGATGTCACCAGTAGCTTTGGACATATAGATCTGAAGAGGTCCGGAGTGCTTCATTGTAGCACCATAGGCGAGCTGAAAATCGATCTCTGCACCCGGAGCAACTGTATACACTTTTGTTTTGGCTGCAGAGTCTATCGAGCCTTTGTTATAGCGAAAGTCATTGCTTAGAATGTCAGGAGCCAGTGTTGGTATGTATCCATTACTATTCTCTTGAATGTATTCAGAATCCTGAGTAGTCTTTCCCTCTACTATCAACTTTGAGAACACATAGTGACCCGAAACCAGCGTGGTGACGCTCGCGAGAAGATAGAGAGAAGGATGATTGATTTCCGTTTTGATTGAAAGGATATTGACAATGAGCGAAAGCAAGACAGACGTCGAGTCAGTCGGCTTAAAGAAAGGAATGGGATATAACTGGGAGACAGAATGGTTGGCTTGGAACGGGAAGTGGTAGCTACTGTTAGTAGCTTATATATGACATACCAGATGCTGCAGAGACAAAATATCCGTACGAAACAACCTGTTTCAAATTCAAAAATTCATAGAGCTCTCAATATATCATCTGCCCTAGAAATGAGAGCATCCAATACGAAGGAGTCTGCTAATTGGGGTCGAGAGACAAGCCCCCTGGTGGCTCAGTAATCAGAAATGCCAGTGTAACGCCATAGACCCATACTTCTAGTCCTAGGTTATTTTCGCACGAGGCGCCCTACCAACAAGCCTGTCGCTTTTCGCAATGTATTGGGTAACGCTGGCTCCTGCTCCGTCCGCCTATGGTTGGCAACGACCAAGGAACTGGGAAAATTGCCGGTTGAATTAGCAGATGTCGGGAATGTCTCCGTCTCAATTTAGGCTATTAATATGGCAATCTTTGAAGGGATAAGGTCATCGGGACTAACTTCTAGAAACTTGTCTGATTGGTGAAATGCAATTATTTCTTTGCTTCTATCCTCTCCGTTAAGACTGTTTTGAAATTCCGGGCAGTCCACTTGTAGTTTAGTAAAGTTCCGGACTCCCTGTGTTAGCCTACTAGGGCTTCACGGAGCGCGTCCAACGCATCCTTCCTAGTAGGTTATTACTCCTCTTCAAGATCTTCACGTAAAAGTAGAGTAATGCAAAAGAGAGGCGAAAAAGGGGGTAATTGAACCTGTTACATCGTTGTGGTCGTTTAGAGTGGCTTAATCCAGCAGCACTAACGGTCGCTTTGGCCTTATTCTATGATATATCTCGCGCATCGGCACTTACACGCGGATCCAAATTTGGTACAAACGCATGGGTATCATGAGCAGGCCCAATTATACAAAGGAAGGGTTTATGAACGAGTGAGAAGAAGAATGGAAGTGAACTAAATTTCAGTTCGTTCCTGTTCACTCCAGAAACATAGGTTATGTTCGATGGAATAGTAAAAAAACAATAATAAGTCCTTCGTGATTAAACTATACTAGAAACAGGACGGATCGCCTTTCACGCCGAAAAGTCCTCCATCTGACTATTTACAGCTTCGATCTGGATACAACAACCAACGTGCATATCGCGAAACCTATGCAGTCAATGCCAAAGGGTGAGTCCTGTAGATGTATAAGCTCAGCCAACACTTATTGTAGTTAGAATCTTGCTGTGCTTTCGTAGGTGTCCAGGCGAGTAATGCTAATCCGACAGTTGAGTCTTGCCCCTACTGGAGTACAGCATTCGAGGGATTTATGCTGTCAGAGCTGCTAGCTACAGCAGTCACCCGAATCTTGAGAAACACTTTGCGCAAAACTGGAATCGATCGAGGAGGAAAGCACCTATAATTCGTCAGTCAAGCCTCTATGGTCTGTATGGCTCCAACCCAATCAACTAGAGCGTACTTCAAATATGTACAACATACGTGGTAGACTCTTGCTTCATCAGCCCCCCGTTTCCTCATCTATGCGGCCAGATCCTATAGCATTCGCATAGGTATCCGGCTGATTCCTCTCAATAGTGTCTTCAGCAAGATTATATCTCTTGATGACGTCTTCTAATAGAGACCTAAGTTCGTCTCTTGACAGTTCCCCGTTTCCATATTGCAACAAAGTCTTCTGTTCCTCAATGTATTTTCGAACCTTCCCGAGTTCAACCATATTTTTTCGGGGTCGCTGAGGAAGGCCCCTACCTTTAAGCAGCGCTATGAACCCAGCAACGACGGTATTCACGGCCCCCAGCACAGTTATCGCGATCAAGTGGCTCCCTCCAAATGGCCCGAGAGCTGTAATGGTTGCTCCGATCATTACTTGCAAGATTGCAAGCGCGTTGAAGAATATGCTGATTAGATGGTACTGACAGCATTGGGAGTTCTCTTGCTGTCTTAATCTATTGTACAATTCGTTTGTTGCATCGTTGAATGTCTGGTAATCTCGCCTTTCTTCTCTCGGTGGACCCGGTTCCGCCGGCTGCGACGCGGACCCGGTACCTGAGTTTGACATGATGAGATTCGCTGCGATATTGGCTGAGACTGTCTGGAAATGATAAAAGCAGGATAATATTTGCTACATGGAACCAAGAGCTCTTGTGGCTCGAAGACGTCGGTTAGAGGATCTTGAGAACGTTTATAATCAACTTCCGCCCCAATGTCACCTCTACAAATTGGTTCTAGGGATAGTGACCCCATGACATATACCAAATGTATTCATACCACTCGAAAAACGTAAGATGGGGACCATGATTGGCCTAACGAACTTCCAGGCCTAATGCGGCCCTCCCAGGCCCGGTTCAACCAAGAATGGCTTGAGTCAATCCGCGAAAAAGTTAAGTTTCACATCCAGAGCTATGATTTAGAAACTCCAGCGTTTTGCATTAGCTAACCCCTCTTGAGTTTTTCATGAAGGGCACAAAACAGATCCGAGTGGGGTCTTGAAATATGAATTTAGCTACCATTGCCACTTTGACCGGCTTCGGAACATACCCCCCACCTGTGAGAAGAAGCTCATTTGTGACACACTCATTGTCGCAATCAATGACAAGCATTAAGGTTCCTTGTGGCACATAGAATATGCCAGACCTTGGTGTGAATAGCATTTTCACTGCCACATGGCGTAAGAATATTTGCTGGTTACTCCGCAATCTGAGGTTCTTGTTGGAACGGCCTCATCTTTTAAAACGGAGATTAAAGCAGTAGGCTACACATGAGAGAGACCGGATGATCTACACTCTTTAGCTCAACCTAAACCATGCTTTGGGTTGCCTGAGAGTCGGCATAGAGGCAAATATAGACTCGGAAACAGGCGCGGGATACGGCTGGTTCCTTACGAGGAGATGACCCGCGGAAACAGATAACAAGACTATAACCTTAAGTGGAGCACGTCATTCAGCGCTGATTTCGGCTCATATGATCCCGTAAAGTCTTACCATCCCCTCCATTCCCCCAGATGCAGTCTTAGATGGCTGTTAGTTACTTAATTCATAACTAAACCCGCGACATCAAACTAGTAGGATCTCACCCTAACCCAACCCCAAACTCCCCGAACCAGTAAACCATATAAGAACATTTAATCATTAATATATTCATAACCAGACGTATCTGTATACCAATCTAAGAAGCCCCATCCCCACTAACAGTAACCCTCGTTTCATTCCCACCCATCAACGAAAGCTCATCCCCAAATCGATTCTGATCCCTCGCCCTATCTCGCCTCCCGGCCGAATCGTTCTTCGCAGCGCTGGATATCCTTTGCATCTTATAACCCGATCCACCAGGTGCGCCGTTCGAACGATCCGTACTCCACGAGAAGGAGCAGCACAGCGTCCGTAACAACGGTCGAAGAGTCGGCAGACAAGCGCAGATGATTCCGACGCAAGGTTCAACGAAGGTCCAGGTTGCGGCTTCCATGATGGAATCTATATATAGATGGGATAAATTGTTAGCTGACTATATGTGATATGTAGGGTTTATAGAGAGGGACGCACAGGAAGTATCGCCAGTTTCGAATACTTTGAGTGTTACAACGCGCATAATGCTCGCGATGCAGACGCTGTACTTTGTTAGTTTTTCTTCTTTTCTTTTTGCGTGAGTGGTGAGTGATGAGGGGACCTACAATCCACCGAGGAGGAAGATACCCAGGATTGTCAGTTTCTGCGTTGGACGTAGCTGGAGTTGGAGAACCATGGGGATTGGTAAGGCGAGGATAACCACGTCGATGAGTAGATTGGAGATGGCGTTGCCGAAGAAGAATTGTTTCGGGTTGATGCAGGTTCCTTCTAAGGACTTGTTCCAATTCAGGGCGATTGGACGGCATTGTAGGAGGACGGTGACGAAAACGGCGAGACACCATGCTAGGACTAATCCGCCGGTGACGAGGCTCGCGACTCTGAATTTGTCGACGGTGAAGATCCGGCGGTAGAGGAGGAGGATAGAGAGTTTGATCGAGGGGACGAGGAGGGTGTATGAGATCTCGTTAGCGAAGAAGCACTATGGATGATATGTTAGACTTGGTTCATCGTGAAGGGCGTGGTGAGAATTGCCTTTTGGAAGACGGTTTTCTCCCAATCGCTCAGCTCGTCCATGTGTTTCCCTAATCCGCCGTCTCGGGCCCCTATACCATATCAGTTATGAGTATCTCCGTCGCGGTTGAGAGGGCATACAATAAACAGCCTCTACCAGCATGCTATACGCGAGGATAATCGACACACAGATGACATAGTCATCCAATCCCACGGTGGATCTCATCCATCGCGCAAGAATGCGAAAACCAACGACAACCGTGGATAGCGCGACAAGCACCGCGCTCACGGTGATATAGGTTTTACCACGGCCATTAGCACCCATAGCGCGAAGAGAGAGCTTCTGTCGAAAGACAGACGGGTACGCTACCGTCGTAGGATGTATACTTCCTATGAATCGGTTATATGACGGCAAAACCTCGCAACCCCCTAGGGCAAGACTAAAAGCCTATATTATTGCCTGGTACACTATTTAAACCCACCCGAGCCCTGTCTTACCCTAGGATGCAGAGGTGGGTAATTGTTAGTGATAAGATCTAGAGTTTGTTTGGGAGCTCTTAAGGTTTCACATAACGAATGGTGTGTTTCTTCTTCAGATAGAAGAAGCTCATACCATCAAAGTTATATATTTACCAGGATTCACATCCAAGTCCCTGGTTAGAAGATTAATTACTGCATGTTTCGGTGAGCGTTCTTTACACAACTTACTCCAGAAGATGCGCGTCTAACTTTCCCAATTCTAGGGCTCGCCTAGGACAGACCCGCAGGCAAGGATTCTAATCCTGGTGGTTCAATGCACGTGTACCATTCGGCCAAGAGATTTCGATTAGTTATTTTCATAATTGCGCTAGATACACTAGATCGTGGATGGTCTATGACATATTCAAATTGTCCTGATCATCGGTTCCGAGGCAACGGTTCGTCCAGCTCGGACCTTGAGAGTTGAGGAGTAAGTATAATCCGGGGTATATGGAGCGTTGCAATGCAAAAGGAGTAGGGCGTATAAGGTGGCCAGTATATGGGTTCAGCATCGTTTAATGCCCCTTAAAATGGTCCTACTTCTGAGTAAGTGGAACAGGTGAAAGGACATGAAAACTTCGTACAAGTACGCAGAATCCGGAACACTCGGCTAAAAAGATGATATAAAACAAGAGTCTGGGGCAAGGCAAACCAACCACACAAGATTAATCAATTTAACTTCGATCCTGGCTTCTGCAGGATCGGACCGAGTGGGTCATTTAAGGGATGAAGATGAAGCCTGCCTAACTTCCCGCGGGCAACGATTGGCCTCTGTTTCCGGTTCGTCACATCGCGTCTGTTTATTCGCTGCAAGCCGTTGTATCAGCCCATACAAATGTCTCAAAACTAAGGCCGATCTATTGAAGGTTGGAGGGAATCATGACAAAATCTTATTGCAAATTATTCTTCATGCGACTAGTCTACTTCATTATCCCCTTTGTACAATATCTAGCACCAATTTGGCGGTTTTTTCAGGCATACTCAGGAACGGGCTATGGCTCGCTGGCAACTTCTCAACGGTTATATCCACTCCCGCCTTTCGCACGTTATCAATCATCATCTCCTGAACCATGGGAATGAGACCCGCGTCTTTTTCGCACACAATGTACGTAGTGGGGGCGCTGCGATACGCCTCATGGGAGATTGAGTCGAATTGAGCGGATTTCGGGTGGATCACGAGCTTCTTAGCCCATGCAGCTGCATCCTCAGAGGGGACGTCGTTGAAAAACCAGGTCGCCGGGTCGGGAACTGTCAGTATGTCTTTCTCGTCCTAGAAGTGTACATTAGCACCCAGAGTGCGCGACGACTCAGGGAGTGGTTACGTACATCAATTGTGATGAAAGGAGGGAGTTGTCCTCCAAACATACCGGCAAGACTATTGCCAGTTGGGGGGATGAAAGCGGTCATGTAGATTAGGTGTTCAATCGCCAGTCCGTGGAGGGCATCAGTGCCGACCACTCCGCCGTAGGAGTGCATCACGGCAACGACAGTTTTCCCACTGTCAAGGAGAGATTGTGACGTGTGCCGGATGAGCGTCACGTCATCGGCCAATTTCTTTGTGGGGGGTAGATCATTATTGCAAGTTGGGAGACGAGGGCAGACTGTTTCATAGCCCAAGGTTTGGAATGCCTGGCAGAACGACGCATAAAATTCAGGATGATGCCATGCCCCATGAATGACAAGGATCGTAGGGCGAGTGGAGGCTGTGATAGTCATGTTGATATGCAATGGGGCTCAAAATTAAGAGAAGGTCATGCAGGTACGATGATGCAGTATAGACAGCCTTTGACCGGGGGTCCTACAGACCATTTTATTTCCGAACAAATTGGCTCGACAGCGCTGGTGGGGCCTCGACGATCCTATCCTATCTTCCCAAAAAATCGCGATAGATATATTTACTCGTATTAGTTAGACTCGGGCCAACTTGATCTCCTACCCTAAAACCCCCCCTCTTATAGTACTACCCTATTAGTATATCGATGTCATGCCATTACGTGCAGCATTTGCGTTTCTAAATTATTTAAAACCATCGTTAGCCCCTTGAGGAGCATAAATAGGTTCTGAATAGCCATTTAAAATCTGTACAAACTTGTTTCGATACTTGCAATTCGTAACTTGAATGACCCGGCAAAACAGGCCTGAATCAATGCCCGATTGGAATGATCAACAGGACTACCATGGTCCATCTTCCTTAACCTGCTTTTAATCCACTACCAATACAAGTGGCGTACAATCCTACAAAAAGTATCTATACAATCTAATACATCACTTTATTGTACAGTACATATACTAGCCGCTATGGACTCATTGCATGCAATGGTTGGGTAGATCAATAGACGTCAAGACATAGATAGGCTGAAGATTGTGAGGAATACGATTCACACGAGGAACGTATCGCTTCAAGCTTGAATTAAAGTACAACTTGGCCCTTCTTCGCTTATCTCGCCAGCTCCTTCTGCATTGTGAAGCATGATAGCTCGTTTCTCCACTGGACTCCTTGTACGTTTGATAATGTTGGAAACTTTCTCCACATGATGTCTTGATTTATTCGAAATAGGTCTTAGAATTAAGGGCTGAAGAAATGCGACTGTTTAGTCCAGCATGTAGTCCTGCGATTATTGCACTACTACGACGCTAAGCGAAATTGAAACGTATAATAAAATAATGAACTACCGAACTCGTACCAAAGCGGTATCCGCTAGGTGATGATAATGTGATTATCTTGCTCCGTAGCTTAGATAGACTGACTATCAAGCTCCTCCCTGGAATTCCCCGTACTGCCCGGCAAATTTAACCCACATTATGGTTGGAATCGAGGTATGAAACCCTAGGTCCGATGATTTCTCAAGCCAGAGTTGGGCCAGGGCTGTCAGGGCCAGCAGCAGCAAGCGCTTCAATGCGATTCGCCTTAGACGGATATATTATAACGCAATTAAGGTTTTTTTTTTAAACCGGTTTAGCTACGGATTCTTTTCTTTGAGTTTGACAATGTGCAATGTGCTCCCAGCCCTCAGTGACAACTGCCCCCCTTGGGCCCAAACCAAGGCACGTTCCATAAGTAGACTGTAAGTAGGGCTTGGCCGCGACGTTCAGCAGATCGCAGCGGCGTTGTGCCCGGCAAAACGGCGAGACGCATTTGCATGTTGACAGGACATCATTGCATAGTGGCCGTTGCAATCTATCTCAGCGAAAGCTGCATCACCTGCCACGAAGATGTCCTTTGCGGATGGGACGCGTAGATCCACATAGGCATGGAGACATCCGCGTCGGTCTTTCATTTCTCTTATTTGGTGTGTCAATGGGGTTACTTCTAGCCTGGCTGTCCAGAGAGCCGTGAGTGACTCGATGTGCTCGCCGCTGGTAGTAACCACGGCTCTATCGTCCACTGACATCATTGATGCCCCAAGCTTCGTTTCCACCTCTTGCTCTGCCAGGGCTTGGAAAATAACTGGTCGTGGGTTGGCTCCCAGCTCAGGGCCAATTTCAGCACCCTGTTCAACAACGATGACGCGCACTTCGACATCCTGGCCGATAACCGAACTTAATCGTCCGGGAAGCTCGGCTGCGATCTCAATACCTGTAAATCCGCCGCCCTCCACAATAACGGTATTTCGAGTCGGCCTAGGAGGATGGGAGGCCAGGCTGTGCAGATGGGCTTCAAACTTCGGCGCCTCCCCGAGCTAGTCGATGCTGAATTGACGGCGCCCAGGGATGTTTGGACGTCTTAAGCAGCTGCCAGCTGCCAGCACGAGCCGGTCGTAAGAAAGGGCCTGCCGCACTCCAGCCTAGGCCACAACCTCCACTATGCGTTACGAGGCGCAAATGGTATCGACCGTGCCTTTGACGAGCTGAATACCTGTGACGCGGAAAAGATCATCAAGTGCAGTACTCATGCTTTTAACGCCTGATTCGTATAGCCGAGTTCGTATAACTAATGCTGGCTCTGGTGAGACAGCTGTCACTTCACTGCCGGCAGTGTTCCCTCAGTGTAGGTCAATCAACCGCATGGCAGCAAGGGCACTCCGCATTCCAGCAAAACTAGTCCGGAATGACTACTATTTTCTGCATTTTGAACTCTTGCTGGAGACCTGGACTTGATCGAAGCTTCGGTGAGGGACCACACGTAGTCGAAAGATGTAGCCCGCTGCTAGGCAGTATGAGCACTGGCCTGAGTTACGAGTGAACTTTGGCATAGCCATGGGGCCCTCAAATAGTACTGTGAAAGTCACGGCCCGGTGGAGACACTGAGTAATAACAGACCACTCGGCCCACTCGGCTTGTCGCTATGTTGGCAGAGTTATTCGCTTAGGTTATTTAAGGACCTTGGGTTGCTGTACTCTAGGCTCGATAAAGCCTGTTCGGGTATCTATAATCTAGTGCCCTGGTACCCTCCACAGTATAGGCCAGAGGCCTTCTCGAGTAGGACTTGGCATTCTATATTCACTTAGTTACTCTGTAATATCTTGGACAGTTTTTATTCACATGAGTCATCCCAAGATATTATGTCACCTGCTCGGTTGATGTGCCAGCTTACTACATCCTCTAAACAACTTGTTTTGCAACACCACTCTCAATCAAATTTCGTTTGGACGTATTTAAAGGTATGTTTGTTCCGTCATGCGCTGGTCGTGTATATTAGAAGTAAATTTTGTATCGGGCTCTTAAGATTCATATGACCGATACTTGGCCATGGTGGGTAGCGGACCGTATTGGGTAACCAGACGGCGTCTGCAGAAAAGCAGTTCAGCTATACACTGCGATTATATTGCGATTATATAATTAAGCACAATGGCCTAGCTCCTGGCAAAGAAATGCCTGAGGAACAAAAATTTCATCATAGACGAACCTACAGCAAAATTCCAGGAATAAGACGAAGAAAACTAGTAATGAACGAATATACAGCTCCAGACACTAACAACAGTCTATACAGGCTCAAATCAACACCACACCTCCCACCCCAGAGGATTTACTCTACAACGACAGTCTGGTTAAGAAGGTCCAAATACGGCCACGCGCTCGCCTGCAAGTAGACTGAATTAGCTATTTGATTTCGCCTCTCCGATCGCGGCTCAGACACTTACCCCGACAATAGCCACATGTGCCACATTAATCTGCGCATCTCCTTTGACCGCCGAGTCTGGAATCTGCACGGTAAAGTTCTGGTAGGGAGGCTGGCTGGTCTCATGGTATACGGGCTTGAAGGGACCGTTATACAGGACCGTGCCCATTGAATCCTGGGGGGAAAAGCAGGGCTTGGAGGCGCAGGATGACAGGCCAATAACGACACCCACCTCCTGGGAGCCTGTCAGGGTGTTCTGTTCTCGTCATTAGTACATGTTGGGCTGTTCGATGTGGTTTCCTAACGTACTGGGCGCTGGACCTGGACGACCAGATTATCGCCCGGAGTGATCTCCTGGCCTTGCTTGGGGAATCCGATGGCAGCGTTCTGCGCGGACGCAACGGCAGCAAGGAGAGCGATAAAGATCGGGGTCATCATGATGTCGATACAGTCCAACGATACTAGATACAATGGAAAATGAAGAAGATCAATCACTGTCGGTAAGTCTAGTCTTGTCCTTACTTCTGAATGTTGGTTGAAATCGGCGGACTAGGTGGGGGTTTTTATGCTGTTCAGAGATGTGATACATGCGATGTTAGGGGACACCCACCCGACATCACGATCGCTGATGGTGATTCGTTAAGTCTCAGCAAGTCTCAGAGCGGCGAGCGAAGCCACGACCGTGGTTGGCCTGATTGACCCAAAATCCAAAGGTATCCCAGGATCTGTTTGGACAACCCCATGAAAATCATGCATGATGTATGTAGGGCCTGATGCTAATAATATCTTAATTCTGGTAAGCAATTTCCTTTTCCTTTTTCTTTTTCTTTTCTTTCAGCCGGACTAGCGGTCAGTCTACTTTCAGCTGTTCAGGGTCTAAAAATATTCTAGAGTTCTGGTGGTTCCTTGCAAAGAATCACGGTGCTCTGGAGACTAATATTTGTATACCTTAACCAGATAGAAGACAAGGCAATAAATAACTATAAATAGGCATCAATAAATACAAGTCACAAAGAGAGGTGCTGAATATGCAGGCAAGAAAAACGGACGCGTCTATCTTTAGAGGTTGGGAAAGGAAGGGGGGTAGGGTAGGTGTCTAAACTAGCCCTAGCAAGAGGGCCTCGCTCCGACCTGTAAGAAGGTGCAGCATCTGCCCAACTAATGAATATACTTGCAGTCAGCGACTTATAAGTAAGTCTTATTGCTCGTTATAATGAAGGATATTATCTCCACAAGCCGAGCAGCCACGGGGGATGACGTCACATACACCGTCTCGGTCTCAGAAATCGGAGCGCAATAGATGAGCAACTCCCGAGGAGTCAGAGTCTATGAGACCAGGCATAAGAAGCAGTAACTAATTTATGACTGTGTTGAATAAAGATGGCCACTACCTCGGCAGCCTGAGCCTCTCTGTATGGCTCCGCTGAACGTACCCTCCACCAGCGGACGATCCTTAACCTTTGCTCTACCCATGCTGCTCTTAAGTGATATGTGATATACCCTCACAATTTCCCCAATTATTTACCGCCCCATGTAAAGCTACAAGGGGTATATCTTATCGTAGTTGAAAAGAAGCCGTGCTACAGGCTAACCTTCCCCCTAATGCTCCACAAGTTACGAAGCTGTGGAACTCCGTTATTCTAGAGCATCCAGCCGTGTTACCTTTGTATAACGGGCTAAAGGATAAAGAGCATACGGGAGATGCCACAGAGCACCTAGCTATGACAGCTCCATGTTACTCTCGTTCACTGCTCCATACTGCTAGTTGTATATTCTGCTTCTGAAGTAGTTATCAGATGCCCCCAATCAATCTTGACTTCCAACCCCACCTAAACCGGAGAACCCCCCCCCCCCCCGACGATATCTTTCTAAGAAACTAGAAATAAATACAAGGCGGCAAGGAACCTCACTGGGCAAGTTTCCCAGTTGATACAGAGGCAAAGCAAACTTATAGCTTGCAAAGCTTACATTAATATCCCTCGGCTGCGCTTAGATTACTGTATATCTCTGTTAGCGCTGGAAATATAGGGCTAATCATAGTGCCTAAGGCATAGCGTCGGGAATATGCTAATTACAGCGATCTCAAACGATTCTCTATCTACTAGGGACCATTAACTATTATTTGACCCTCTTAGTCATATATCTTAGCCAACTAAAAGGCAACTTCAGTAGATTTCGGGCTTGTTTTCGAGCTACATACCTGTTTAGGCATAGTATGCGATCTCTGAGTGGGCGTTAAAGAGGATCAGTAAATCAAGCATCATTTTTAACCAGTTGACAGGCTGGCGAATGGCATCTAGAATGAACGAGTTGGATTTGCGGGTCTGAAAGGGCTTTTCAGGACTAATGTTCGAAACACCTACCAAGAACAGTAAAGTGGTAAGACCTAGGGGCAAGGTGGAAAAGCCTGATAGCCAATAATCGGATATGTGTATAGTCTGCTCCGGGGTTTTTTTTCTTCTACTCCATTTAAAAAAAGCCGTAGCTTATAGGGAATGGTCTACATAACCAGAGGGGCGTCGCTTTGACTAGATCACTAGGAGATTGCTTCTCGTTACTACCTGCTCGCCCTATCCAATGCCATTCCGAGGACTTAACTTGAAAGAAAGTCTGACAGCTAACACCAAGCAATGGAACTGACTGGAAAAGTTGGCACATCTATCCTGCAACTTATCGTTTATGTCCCTTTCCTGGTTATCATATTCATTGCCTGCTTGAGGCATGGCTTTCGCCGTTTCGCATCGTCGGCTCCATATGCGAGTTATACGCACGCAGCAACCCACCAAAAGATCTCTTGATAGCAGTCACCATTCTTGATTCTATTGGCATATCACCTCTAATGCTTGCTGCACTAGGAATTCTGTCATTCTGTCCAGGCTGTAAGATACCAAATATCCGCTATTGCTGGCCAAGAGAGCAATGGAAGGGAATGAAAACACTACTAACAATAGTTCTAAGTACGGGTTGGATTCAGAAAGAGATAGAACTTGCCATCGAACCGAAGCCCTCACGCCTCACACAACTCTTTGTATCCGTGGCCGTCATCCTCGGCATCGTTGGGGCCACTTCCTCATCCGATCCTAGCCCGCAAAACCCTTATCACGAGTTGGAACTTGCCTGTACTTTGTTGCTTTAGCCGGATGTATTTTGCTTTTCACACTCGCCTGCAACAAAGTATCCTGGTGTCAATATATCTCACGATGAGAGCGTCAAGCTACCATCATCGTCGGAACCGCGTTGTCCTTGGTATTAATACAAGTCATATACTCTGCATTATCGATGTTTGGGCATAGCTCTGTATTTGGTATTGTGAAGGAATCGATTGCAGCCAAACACTGCAAGGTAGTGATAGAGGAAATAACAATCGTTGGCATGTACACTAGCTTTGGTTGGTACTTGAGGCTAGGCAAGAGTGACCAATACGTTGCCCAGCTGAGGTAGATGGATGAAGAGACACCTTTTAGAGGATCTTAATCAGTGACAAGTGAGGGGATATCCTGGCGATGCGCTGGTAAAGGTAATGGTCGTCTTGCCAAAAGGCCGGGTTGAGCGGCTCCTCATCCTTATATGTCGCATTTTCACACCACCATGAGTCTAGGGATATCACTAACCAAAAGGTACTTGATGGCGGCGACATAAAGACAGTCGATGACATGGATGATGTCGATCTGTGCTACATGGGTTTCGAATGTAAATCTCGGGAAACACTCCGTTGAGACTAGACGCTCCGACCATCCTTGAATTTGATAGAAGCTTATCCGGACGTATCTCAAGATATATGACGTAGAAGGAGCCCAGTTGTAAAATCACATGAGAGTCAGCCGAAGCATACAAAAAGCACATTAAAATGCTTCGCCAGGAAATAGCTGACCAGGTATGCGGAAAGATTGTTCTCTCTAGCATCCTTGCTGCCTCCTCGGCAGGTTGTAGGTTATATCTGTCCTTGATATTTCTCAACTGATATAGAATATAAGTACGGTTGATCTCTGGCCAAGCATTTGCGTTTGCCAGCGCAATTAAAAGCCAGATAATGTAGCGTCCAGTCATAGCTGCACTTCCGCAGAATGATCTAACAATCGCAGTACGGCAGCCAAGAAGTTTGTAGCAATGCTGTTGACACTGTTACGTAAGGTTCTTGTTTCATCTATCAAAGTGGACGAATGATAGTTTCCAGGTATGATAATACCGGCCTCCTGAGAGAGTACGTTTCTTAGTCCATCGTCCAGGGCCCATCGTAGTATTTGTACAATCAACCATAGCTTCATAGCTTTCCTGCTGCTTTTCTCCAATCTTGAATCATCCTAGTAGTTATTGATACAGCCTTCTCAGTTAGGAGCCGTCCGTATCAGTCGTCCGTCCTAGTCTGTGCTTCTCTGATAGCAGGTGATGCACTTTCAAGCACACTGCGTGCAGCATGGTCTTTTTCTATTCACACAACTCTTACATTGTCAGCTATCCATTGTATCATTGATTGGTATCTTGGCGCGTTGCGCGCGACAGGGACCACAAGCGGAAGAGGGTTTCCCTGAATAGCCCATCTTCAAGTAGCTGAGCTAGTATTTTGGTCATGCACTCTTCCGATTGTGCAAAAATCTAAAATTGTAACTGGCCAACTGTATGAGATTGTAGGGTAGAGTCAATCAGATGATGGGAAAGTGTAAGATATTGATGCCTGAGGGTCACAAAATCGTGGGGTTTCCCCACCTATTCCACTATATTAACCAATCAAGCATACTATATCACGTGCTAGATATCCTATTTTCAGAAAGTATAGGTGCATATAGACCTGGATGAAGTATATAAAGGAGCCGAGGTCACCGCACTGGTTATGGGCTACTTGCATTATACATCTGTAAAGGTTGACCAAACACATAGGTGTTCGCCATGGCGGCCAAAAAGCGAAGAGAAATTGATGAAGGCTGTAGTAGACCCGGACCGCCGTGCCTGTCAAATTTCGAGACAATCCAACACCCAATGAGGTGTGGAGAAAATCTATGGATTAAGTGGGATCACTGGACATTTGGCTTATCATTCAATGGGACGATGGCGCAGTTGGGAGCGCGTTCGACTGAAGTTCACTTCATCATCAGCCATTCCAGGCTAATCGAGAGGTCGTCGGTTCAAACCCGGCTCGTCCCATAGTTATTTTGCTTCCTTTCCTATATTCATTTTTTATCTAGTAGATAGTACTTAGGCGCCCAATCGTGGTGCATGGCATTCGATAGCGCGGCGTTAACTGTATATATATAGGCTTTGTTTGGGCGTTGGCGGACGATATAGGTCTCGCCAGCATAGCGGCCGTAGACAGGCACGTTAAATGACTACGATGAATACTACTATACCATATTGTAAGGTCTCCTGCCGGGCAATCGAACCATACGGAGCACAATCTACGAAAATAGCAATATATTCGATTATTGAGGTGGGTTTCATAGGTCCCACATATACAGTTAACTTCCCGGGCAAAGCTACGCAGACCAGTGAATACCTCGTGCTCATCGTCGCCTTGTCGTGTCCACCACTTTGTGGCTTGGTATACTCGAACACTTGTTCAGTGCTGATCAACAAGGTAGTTACTCCCCAACACCTGACACCTCTGGAACCTTGCTATGAGTCAGACATTCGTCGGCCTAAACGGAATTCTCGTACTGAGAGCTCCTCAGATATAAATCGACGTGTGCTCACTCCTCTTATGATTTCACCATGCAGTATCAGTTCTAGGTTTGGGATCATTAGTTTCCTAAAGAATGTTATCATTTGTCACTGGGCTCAAGTCCAAGACACTCAGGAGGCAGTTGACGCAATAACACGAGTACGTCTACCTACACGTAGGGAACCCAAAGATGCTGGCCGACAGTACTATCCGAGATACGGCTTATTTCATTAGATGATTCTACCGGAGGCTAACGAATGAAATGAATAGATGGACAGACATATGTGCTTCAAGGATTCCTGATGGCTTTCCAAACCGTAGCTGAGAGACCGCACTAAAAAGAGTTGTAGCGATTGACATTAATAATCTTAATAATCTAAGCAGGATCGGATCTTAGTGTAAATTAGGAAATGCCGCAACTGAGACAGGCTGAATGGAAAGCTGACATGTCAGGATTTCACTTGCTAGCTACTATTAGCCGTTGAGGGTCCGCGTAAGGCGGTTGGTCTTCATTGCCGCCCATAAGGTCGCCAAGGGAGGTTGGCTACCGGGCACTCCGTCCCACTGTCGAGCGCTTTTGTACTGTTTTGCTATTGTTGAACCTCGCAAAGGATTCGTACACATTATGAAGGGTCCTTTCCTTCATGAATGGGGTGAGGATCATAGTCGTAACTGGAGGCATAGGGCCATATATATCACCTGATATCCAATGGAATATCACCTAAACCATTATAGAAACCCGACATACCAAGATTTTGGTTACCTTCTAAAGCGGAGCGTAGAACGACCTGGAATGCTTAGCACCGGGTATGTCTATAACTAGTAATTTCAATAATGATGCTGATCTCTATCCCCTAAATTTGGGTCCTACTCCACAGCTCTGGAATCACATGATTTTGGGACTCGTTAGGTGATTCTCTAGACGATCTCTATGCGATACTTGTCTAAGACAACGTCCTCAATGATATGATGGGTTGTATAATAGTGATGATAGGTTACTTAGCTTCCCTAGGGATTTGGCACCGATATTAAATTAGGTACTCGGGATTTGTGTTAATAGATCGGGGGTTACATTTTCCGTAAGACACACTGTGGGGCGAAATACTGAGGATGTGAAACTAGCTCAGCGACTTATGAATGGAGAGGCTTTGTATGACGAAAGCTACGTCGATCATCCCGTAATCTTTGCCGACGTGTGGCTGTTGTGAATTGCAGCATCAGACAAGATTTGATACGGTTCAAGATCCTCCTGAATGGCCATTGATACGCCGTGGAGCTATGGATTCGCTGCAAATTCTTCCCTGGAGCGATTGCACACAGCAATACAATATCCTAAGTTTAGATGCTCTATGCAACTACAATGCAACACTCGGGTAATAGAAAGCAAATGCCATCCGACAACCTGTTCTATGGATAGAGGTGTGAGACATTCTCCACATAATCCACTCGAGCGATTGCATCAGGGATTGATGCACCAATACACGCCTCAATAGTGTGATGCTACTTTGAACAACATCCGAGCATCCCATTGCGATATTTGCCGGAAGAACATATAAATACCCTCGACAACCTCCAGGTCTGGAAGCAATAACAAACAGCAAACCCTATAATCAACCAAGAAATCAATCTATCAAACAACAACCCATTCCCCAACCGTCAAAATGAAGTTCACTCTCGCTGCTGCTTCCTCCTTCATCGCTGCTGCCCTCGCAGCCAGCCTCCCCGAGTCCTTCACCCTTGTGGCCGACGGCGGCAACACCGTCCTCACTGATGGCAGTATGTGCCCATAATCAATCCCAACACAGGTATAGCTAACATCCACAGCCCACGCCATCGTAGACGCGTCCCAGGCCCACACCCAGGAGATCCTGCGCCGTACGTCTCAACCCCTTCCTATATCAAACTCACCTAAACCTAACTAACAATATACAGTCCAAAGCGGCGGCAACGGCGCCATCACCTACACCCGCCAGGGCTCCCCACCCACTGCCTGGCAGAACCTCTACGTGATCAAGGATAGCGCCGAGCCCATCGCCCTGACCATCCCTCACTCCGGTGCTACCCCCGACGGCGCGGAGCTCACCGGCTTCGGTGTCACCGACGACGGCTTCCTCACTTTCAACGGCGAGACCTCCTTCGGTCTGTCCGCTGACAACAAGGAGATCTACTACCTCGGAAAGGACTCTGATGTCCCCAAGGTCTCTCTCTGGGTTAAGGAGCTCAAATAGGCTGGTCTTTTGGCGGGACTTGGATACTAGGTTTTCCCAGGTCATCACGCAATTTTGAATATAGAATGGGCTGGTATTGGACATGTTGTATTGTGGATATTAGTATATAAATGGAATACCTATATCAGGTGTCATAGTTTCTGGTTTGTTTCCCATATTGGTAATTGATGTTGGGGCCGTAATAGCCAAAATAAGGCTTAAGATATGATGTAAAAGTACAGGCGGGATGAAACTAGTTTAAGATATCGTCGAACGTCATAATATATGTCCATGCTATTTTGCACATCCTGCTCTTCTCATACAACGAACTCATATAGAGTGACTAATACCGTTCTTCACTAAGGTGTTAGGAAAATATTATAGCAATTTTTTGATTGCATGCTTATTATCGGATGTGTTTTGAGGTTGCGTGGCTTATATATATCATTCTGATGGTTAAGCGTACAAAGAATATAGCATTGCTGAACAGATTAGTCCTTGCCCTATGGTTGCGTCCTGCTTCATAGCTTGGAAAGGGGTGGGGTTGCATAAGAAGAAAAAAGTAGAAAACAAGAATAGAAAAACACGATAACGATGGGGCTGACAGACATCCTAATCTGAAATAATATGCATGAGTATTTTCAATATTGGTTTTGTTCGTCTACCACTGATGACCTTGCAATCTGCGCGATAAATTAAAAATCAAGATATGACATACTCAGGCGAGAACTGCACTTGGAAGAAAGGTACAATTTCATTCTAACAGAGGTGACAACGCATGACTGCTTCATACTACCTCGAACGATTTATCGCCCCATCCATACTTGCTCTTCAGACGACTTGCGAAAAGAAGAAGGCGATAGCCTTCAATACGGGAGTGGCGCGGTCGATGAAGCGTGATGGACCTAGGAATGTTGAAGCCTGCAGGGGGCGAAAATATATAGATCGAGCCAAATTTTGGCACAATGGAGAATTTCATATGCACCATAGCTGCTTCAAATGCAGCCCAGGCGATCGAGCCTGCGATGTGGGTTTTGCGAATAGCGTTGAGAACACCTCGAAGGCGGCTGACTTCGCTTTGAATACGCGGCAAGGTATTGCAGTTTCCGGATCCATGGTGGCAGCTTCTGTTGGAGCAATACTATATACTGAAGAATGTGACGGGCGGGTTTTTGTCTTTTGCTTACGCTGTTCAATATGAACTGCCCGGCTGGGTACGTCTGGCATTGACGAGGCAACCTCGGCCAGTTCTATTCGCTCAGTTCTTTCACTTTGCTCCCGGGCTTGCATCTGAAGCGCTGCCAAACATTCCTCGTTTAGATCCTGATAGAAAAAGCCAATCTCAGCCCCGGTGTTCGTGTAGATAAGTTGGTCGAGCAATGTCAATGCGCCTTGGACCATGCCTGGCTCTAAAAGAGTCGAGAGGAACTACAAAAGCAGATAAATCAATCCCAGATTTCAGTAGACTGATCTCAGCTGTTAGCCCTTTCAATCGAGAGATATATATCTGTCCTCTCTTCGGGTTTGTTGGGGGCATGGGAAGAGACGCGGAGAGACACTGAATGAAACTGGTGGTCACAGCAAGGTCACCGAAGGTGTCAAACTCGCTTTCTGCCAACCTCTCCTGCTTAGCGGGATAAGTTTGGTGAAAGTCGTCTAGCCTTTTAATCCATTCGACTGCCCGAGAGACATTCATGTCAGGCTGGCAAAGACGAAGTATGTAATGGAGCTGCGGGTCTGTTCTGGTAAAGGTATCCGGCTTAATTTTCATCGTTACCCGTGAAAAGCCATCATCATAGACACTGCAAATGCGTTTGAACTGCTTACCACCGGATTTCATTTGCACGTAGCGCTTGAAGAGTTTCTGGGCCCGCCAGTACTCGAAATTGCAGACGTTCGTAAGTTCCTGAAGAACAACACTTCTGTAGGACCGGTGGTTAGGTTCTTCCATGAGAGTCTGCAGGAGACTATAAATATAACCCCAAATTGCAGCTCCCACGATAGCATTGTGGAGAGTCTCGAAACATGAGATGCTAATGTATTTGTCGGTGGCCACAGACAGCATCCGGCCTTTCTCATCTGGAACCAGCTCCGGTCGACTGAAGTACCAATCATTAACGGCGTGAACAAGGAACCTAGGTTCACCACGATAGAGATGCAGATAATTCTCCAGGGCCGACTTTTAGTCAAAAGCACGGGCAATCGACTCCTCCAGCGATAGTTTTTCATTTTTTCATTAATCGTCAGTTGGAAATAGCCTCACATGCTATATCCTCTAGCTTTTCCGACCGCTTCTTTATCCCATCCGAGGTAGAGCCAGCTTCAAGAATGTCCTGAATGATTATATTCATGAGTCACAATAAGAGATACTGTCGATCTAAGATTAGTTCACCCGTGGATCTAGGAACAACCAGTCCCGCTCCCACACAGGCCGACAAGCTATCCATTGTTTCTTTATAAGTCACCCGATCGGTAGCTTTGAAAGACCACCCGTATCGATCTTCGGTTGCGAAATTCGTTAAGCTGTCTCGGAAGGGATCAACATGTTGGAGACCAAGAAATTGAATGCTTCTGTGTATGACTTCTGTGTCACCAGGACCACCATTCGGACCCTCGACGTACTGATCACAGAGAGATTTCGTTTCGCGATGTTTCAAATGGTTCAGTAAATAACCAGAATTCGGATTAGTGATGTCGCGTAGATTCCAGTCAGGGATGCATTTGTACACGTCGCCTATGGATCTATCAATAGGCGATGTCAGTACTTCACCTCGTGCAGCACCAGCTCTCATCACTTTCTCGCGTCGGCACTTTCCTAGCGACCGCCATATTTTCTCGATTTTCGGGCCATGAAGCTCATATTTACGCGCAAGATCGCGCTGTAGCTCCTTCATCTCATTCGGCTTATCCATTGTTGCAGTGTTAAGGATAACTCGAAGAAATGGTGATATACGGAGCAGAGAAGGACGATCCTCAAATCTAGGTATTCGCGAGATGGTGTGGTTGTCATGTGGCTTTCAATCACGGGACAATCTCCGACAGTGCCTGAAATATTCACTCCTTATCACGGGGAAAATATGGCGTATTTTGTTACATATACGAGAAAAGGTATAGAATGAAGAAGAGGAAGAAGAAGAAGAAGAAGTAGAGAAAGTAGAGGAAACAATTTCATATCTCATCACAGGCCATAGCTCAGATAAATACACGTTCACTAATAAATATACACAAACTCGTCATTCTCCCGATCAGTCAGATCCATGAAGGCATTATTGCCAACCTGACCGTCCGTTTCAGCACCCTCAGCGTCCGCATCCTCCTCAGTGACCTGGTATGTATTATCCATAGACCGATCGACGAGCTTAGCCGGCTTGCCGTTCTGCACACGACGACGTTCCTGCATCCTGTTGAGCACGAACAGATTCGCCCACTGGATCAACACGATAGCCGCCATGGCGACAAAGATTCCCAGACAGGCTCGCAGCCCTGGCTGATACGCGGGCGCATCCTTCTCGTTGAACAGCAGCGGTCCGACAATATTCCCCGCCGAAGAAGCCGCATTGTACAGACTCATGACGATGGACTTCTTCGTTTGTCCGGCGGTGTTTGCTACGATCCATGAGACGATGAGCGGGTTACCTCCGAACAGGAACGAAAGTAAGTAATATCCTGCCATTAGGGCACCTTGGACGGAGTCGTTCCGTGGGAGGGCGTATAATACTGCGAGACCTGCTACAACGGGAAGCATGAAGGAGGCGAGGACGACAGCCTTGAGTCGGGCTTTCTGGGCGAGATAGCTGGCTAGGAGGATGATAATGAATTGGAGGGCACCGAAGGGCATGTTGAGGAGGGTTGTTTTGAACTTGTCGAAGCCGAGCCCTGATAAGATCAGAGGGCCGAAGACATTTGTGACGGACGCTCCCACGTTGAGTAAGAATGCCATTCCGATCCAGATATATGTCTTCGGTTCTAGTGCGGCTTCCCAGACATGATTCATTTTGAATTCACGGCTTCCGACGCCCGTTTGGTTGGCTCGGAGGCGCTCCATGGCTTGTAATTTCTCTTGGTCGTTTAAGAATCGGGCGGAGGCAATGTCGTTGTCTAACCGCCAGTAGATAAAGGGGGCTGAGAGGACGGTAAGAAGCCCGACAAAGAGGAAGATGCTATTATTGAAGACATTTAGCAGGTGTCATATAATCAAACCAAGTAAAGAGATTATAGTTTAAGGAAATACTTACATCTGCCATTCCTTAAGAGCACCAGACTGGATATGTCCCAGTCCATAACTCAAGGCAGCGGCAATGATGGTTGCAAGACCGTTCGTACTGTACCAGGCTGCGACTCGCAACGGTTGTTCTGCGCGACGATACCATTGCGCAGTGATGATACTGAATAGAGGCAGGCAGCCTGCCTCAAAGAGACCAAGGAAGAAGCGGGTGGCCATCAGCCCTCCAAAGTTGTGACACGCGGCCATTGCGGCTTGCGCGACACCCCATCCGGCGACTAGAAGAGGAAGAAGAATTCGGTGTGGTACCTTCACGATTAAAAATGACGAGAACGGCTGCCAGGCCAGCTGGGCAATTGGAGCGATGGAACCAACCAGTGAATATTCGTTACCGGTGAGGTTGGTATCCTCCTTGAGGCCGAACGTAGCACCATATCCGAGAACCGTCTTGTCTAGAATTTGCAGGAAGTAACCCCACATCAAGATCACCAGGATGGTCCTGTCAGTTTTGTTCCGAATGCGCTTGCTATCTTCCTCGGTCAAGGGAACCCGGACGACGTTGATGTGGTCCATGGTCGCAGGCTTAACCACATCATGGTGAGTCCCTTGTGGTTTCGGATCCATGGCAGGCGATGTCGTTGTGTCCTATAGCTATGATGATGGCCTTCGCAGTGGCCTTGAATGGCAACACAAAAGAATGGGGGTTGGAACTTCGATTGCCGTTTATATATGAGACGATCCCCGGGGTGGGCGGCATTGAGTAACCCCCACGCCTCTGGAAAACCCCAGATTTGTTACCAGATAAGTTTAGCGCAATATGGAGAAACCTGAAATTTCTCATCAACCAACCAGTTCGCCGTGGAGTGAGCTTGAGTGGACCCGAAATCCTCCCCGCAAAAGCGTAATCGTACCTCGGACGAATGGCCCTCCCTCGGTTTTACCCCCACGCATGGGTGACCCCCACGGTCTGTGGGAGTCAACTTGTAGAGTTCTGGACATAGCAAATGAAGTCATATTTATATCGCATGATACATACGTCGACATAGCTAACTGGGTTATATCGAGAAAGCATAGCTCTTCAATAGCCGCCAGCTCTTATTGCCGTCTTATCTGTCACCTCATCCGACGCCGACATCTCCGAGCTTGTCGGCAATAGCACAGCATGTATAATCCTCGGAATACGAGTCTCTTTGGTATATAAAGGCTTGTAAAACTCATGTGAGTGTCAATATGTAAGAGCTCATGCTCTCCCTTGCTGCCAAGGAAGATCCAACGACAGAATTGCTTTCGCGTGCTAGCTTTCTCTCGAGTAGTTTCGATGCTACATAATATATATATTCGCTCTTTAGCTGAGGACTGTAAGATCATTATTCTTGGACCATATAATAAGGTTTAACTTTCATTGAGTATTATAATAAATTTCTCTCAATATGTTTAAACGCACGCGGTAGCGCCCCATATATTTTCATGAGTTTGCTGATGTAGAAACGTCCATCTCTTTATTGGTCTTTATGCCATCCATAATCTAATCATATTTTCTTGCTCACTCATATCAAATATGCCATTGCATTCTACGAAGTCATCGGGGCGGCATCAGCTGAAAAACAAGAGAGGGAAAATATTATATCTCTAGAACCAAGAAGAGCAAATAATCATACTAGAGTCTTTGGACATAACTACGTTAAAGCCACGGATACAGCCATGGCCCAACTGTGCATAAACATACATATTCCCCTAAGAAACAGCTATGTAGGTAAGGACATCCTTTGCTAACCATATTTATCCTGAAAGTAATATATTAAACCAAATTACTAACGGCCTTAGCTGCAGATATTCTCCATATCGTATTGGCTACTAGGACATCGTCCGGTTCACTAGCCACTTCGGAGCTAATTTTTCGCCTTTGAGTGAATTCAGTACAATATCAGAGAGATTCTCTTTCCGAAGAAAGGCATGGAAAATCCAATAATAGAGAATAAGACGTGTGTTATACCGTCAGAATCTTAGAGGCATCCTCACTATGGCGGGTGGAGTCAGACGCTTCTTCAGGGCTTTAGTTTGCACGTGCCTGAATACAAGTCGCCCAATATATTCTATATAGTAGGCCAGATAGCAGGTATACACTAGATAGCCTCGAGCATCAAATTGATGGTGAATTGAGTATTAATTCAATATTGTACATGTCTCAATTTATGCCACATCACATCTTGGGCAAACTGAAGATAGCTACTTTCATCAAAAGCTGCGACAATGCTAGAAGTTGGAAGCATTCCACCGTGAAGGTCATGCCTAGGCGCCTGTTTTTAGCTGTTTGGTCTTATGCTTCAATGTTCACTTGTGTACTATAAATTTAAGAGAAGACACTAGTAGGCGATATATATGAGCACCGCACTGTTTAACCTAAAAACGCCAATTGAAAGTTGGTCGTCCCATGCATCGAATACATATCTTCATATTGGATGCATTTTGAAGCCAACCAGGGGTGCAACAATAAAGACTCGGGGTAGAGGAATAGTAGTTATAAATTTCTCCAAACCTCCCTCTCGGCTTGTGTAAATTGTTCTATGCTGGTACAAAAATTTCCGTTAGTGCGGCTCAATTCGGCTCGTCAACAACACATGCATTTACCGTGACCCTCATACGGAGTAGGTAGAATCATAGCCGAGCTAAAATGGAGTTCGATCAGATTGCCCCACGGGCTACGACCCATAACCAAAGACTTAGTTCTTTCGCTACTTCATTTACTGATATAATTCTAGCACGCATCGCCACACTCGGCCCCCAAACCAAGCCAGCGAAGACCAGCTGGACAGACACATGTCTCGCAATGTAAGCAATGAAAACAGCCTTCTGTATGGGTATGAGCTGGATCAGGATGCCCAACTACGGCGAGCATAGACTGTGCCATGTGACACCACATTAGCCAGATAGCTTAACAGCACCGTATGCGACCAAAGCACGAAGCGAGTTGTTGTTGCTTACATGGTATGATTAGCAGTAGCTTAGAGGCCAGCCCCGTAGCGAAATTACACAGCCCGAGCTTCAAATATCTACAGAATTGGCAAATGCCGCAATTAACAGAGTCTCATGAAATTGGTAGAGTCGCACCTGACGCCGAGTATCCACGCAGCTATGTTTAGGGTAGGCGCGCTGGTTCATGGGTGTACTTGGAATCGGTGGCTACGCGGGGTGGAAGATGTGGAGCTGGGTTTAGGATTGGAAGATGCTAAAAAGAAGAGATACAGTCCCGGAATATCTCACTGGAGAGCCTGTTAATATGCTATTACAGTTGTAGTAAGGGAAACATTTAGGCATTTAGGCTCAGTTCCAGGGAGCTTCTAATACCTTTATTGGTTTAATCCCAATGATATACCGGCTCTATGTAGCCTCTCGTTGAATCTAGATCCACATGGCCATTTATGCCAATATCATGAAAGAACGGAAATGGTTGGGTTATAGTTCATGATTCTGCCTAACGTGGAGTTGTGCATATTTTATGGGGGTAAATATGTCAGGATTGTGTTTTTCGTGAAGGCATGTTTAGCATACTCGGTCGTGACTGCGCATATTTAGCTTACAATGTAGGCATTTGGTTTGGGCATGCCGACCAAATCAGCTTTCTGGAGTTTCGCCCTGGTCGGGTGATAACTAAAAAGTGAGGTTGCGAGGAATATTCAATATTGAGTATCCGAAGGACAAGTAGAGCTTGAACAAGTGGCGCAGATGTGCTATTCAATCTACTGTTGTATGATCATTACACACGTATAAAACATTTACAAATTCCGTCTAGGGGAGCGGAATAGATTAAAATAATAGGGGCTCTCTTTCGTTCTGTACTGTCGAATTAGGGCTAAAAGCAATCGTCCTGTTTTAGGCCGATGCAGCTACATTTATCCTGGGTGTACAACAGAACCGTCAAATGGGGATAAATTTGCATCTCCGGAAAATGACAACCTGATCAATGAACTTAAAATCTAGCACAAAACATCGCCTGACAGCGAGAATGGCTCCACAAACAAATAGATGATCACCACGTCCGCAAAGGTGCAGTAGTACGATGCGATTGACGAATCCAAAGGTCAACTCCTGCGGGGTCGATGCACCTATCCTACCACCCTGCACACCATTTCGCATTGAGGGGTTAGTCGGTTGATAACTGCCGTACGCTGGATTAAAAAGGAGAGTCTTAATGAAGCCTAGTATAGCAGAACCATATCGCTTTGCTTCGAGCCTGGGAGTGACACCTTTTCTGGACAATATAAAGATATCAACACCTTGTCCGTGGCAAGCGTCTCCCTTTCTGGTTCTCACTCATTCTCAAAGACCTCGGTCTCTAGCATAACGCTGATCCCAAACCATGGCGTCAAAGGGGATGCCCATGCCGGACCGACTGTCCAGCACCGACCGCTACGGAATGTCAGGCCGTCTGACGCAAACCTCCGTCAGGTGCATCTGATACATACCGAGATTCTTCAGCAAGTCTCCACCGATCCTGCGACCGGAGCGAAGGATATCGCGCTCAAGCCGGGACAGTTGGGCGAGAACATAACGACACAGGGCGTTGACTTACTCTCGCTGCCTAAGGACACGAAATTGCTGTTTGTAGACAGCAAGGCGCCCAAGCATGACGCACCAACCCTCAGGCTAACCGGTCTGCGCAATCCTGGTCCGCAGATCGATGCTATGCGAAAAGGTCTGAAGGACCGTTTCTTGGTCAAGGATAGTCGCGGGGTGGTGGTAGGATATCTAGCCGGTGTTATGTGTGTTGTCGAAAAGGGAGGTGATATTCGACCAGGGATGGAGATTGTGGTCCAGACACCGGCAACAAATATGGCTCTTAACTGTATCTAATGTGAGTTACCGTGAAGGTGCCATGGGTGCTTCGGCGTTATTCGTCTGTTGATCCAGGGCTTCCTGTATGTTGAAGATATCCAATGGAGATGATGTTCCAATGCGCCACTATGGCTACACGCAAGTATGGCCTAAAGCTCTAGAGGCCACAATCATGGCCTCTTACTCCCCATTCTGCATTCTTAACTTGGAGCCGGTACAGTACAATCGGTCATAAATCGCCATACCAAATTCAACCAAACCTGGCGGCTTCTAAGCAGAGCTAGGACAACCATAATGACATCGGGGACCACGTTGTGGGGAATATTTCCTCATGGACTGCAATCAGGAGCCAAGAGCAGCGGTGAGTCACTCCAGCGGAAATAATGGATCAATCGGATTCGATTCGGATTCACAGCTAGAGCCATTATCCCGAGAAGCCAATCGGTGCGCTGAGGACCGCGCGGACGGTCAAGAAAAAGAATCAGATTTTGAACAGCTCGTCGGGAACTGTGAATTTCCGCAATCCGGCATTCCATTCCTTGTTTCTTCTGCTTTTTAGTCTCTTTCCCCTCCCCAGGGTTCGATGATAACAAACGGGATCCTCGTATTCGGCCTGTTCATGAATTCAGCCAATCCAGCCAATTCAGCCAATTCCCGCCGATTGCATTATTTAAACCTGTATCATATCTTTCGGTCCAGTTAACCAAGTCTTCTTCCGTAAATTCGCGTCGAGTTGCCATGTCGCTGGTGCAAGCTCTCCATTACGGGATCGAGCCTGATAAAAGGGCTTCGGCACCCGCAATTCCCTCAGGCAATTCCTGCCCCCAGGTGTTAGATCAACAGCGCCAACATATTTCTCTAAATGGCGACTCGCCCCCTGAAATAGGCCAGCCAGTGTTCGAACGTGTGCCTTCACACGGTACCACTCAGGTTCGACGGTTATCCGTCACGGTACTGCTTGTTTTAGCGAATCTCGTACAGGTAAACTTCGTCATTCAACCCAGATATCAGATGATTTAGGACTCATGGAATAGATGACAGTAAACTTCGCCGGGATTGCCGGTGGAAGCAGGTTGAGCAATGCAATGGGTGTTAAAGAATCATATGCCTCATGGATTGGCGCCAGCTATGCGTGAGCGGCCATCCAATTCTATCGATAGAGCGAGGGTGACTGACTGTACATAGACTGACGCAAGGAACATTTGTCTTGATGAGCGGTCGGTTAGGCGACGTTTTTGGTCACCGGAAACTGCTTCTGCTCGGCGGAGCATGGCTAAGCCTTTGCGTCCTCACCAGTGGGTTCTGCAATAACTTTTTCGCTTTTGTCACGATGCGTGCGCTTGCTGGCGTGGGCGGCGCTCTCATCATGCCCAACGCAGTAGCAATGATTTCGTCGACGAACCCTCCAGGACGTATCCGAAACCTGAGTTTGGGTTTCTTTGCTGCGTCCGCACCATTGGGAGGTTACCTTGGAGCGTTATTCCTAGGCGCTTTCCTAGAGAACACCGACTGGAAGTGGTTTTTCGTCTTCATGTACGCCACGGATACTGGGATGAGACAGGCATGTTGCTGACAGACTACAGAGCCTGCCTCGGCACGCTGACCTTCATCCCTCTGTGGATTCTAGCGCCATACGAACCACCGGTTGACCGACACGGAAAGATAGACTGGGTCGGCTCCGCTTTAGGCACCAGTTCCTTGATCTTGTTTAATTTTGTCTGGAAGTAAGCCGGCTTCCCCGAGTTCGCTTAGAAGTAAATGCAACGCCCAAAGCAAACAGCGAGCTAACCCCCACCGACATCAGTCAAGCACCCAGCGTCGGCTGGTCAACTCCGTACGAGATAGTCCTTCTCCCTATCTCGCTGATCCTATTCGGCACCTTCCTAGTATGGGAAAAGAGGTTCGCTCCAGAGCCGATCATGCCTCTAGACATCTTCAAGGCGCCATCCTTCCTCACCCTCCTCCTAGTCATCCTCCTAAATTACATGGCGGTGGGTACCCTCATCTGGTACCAGGTCCTCTGGCTTCAGGAAGTATGGCACTGGTCTCCCCTTCACTTCGCCGTCGGGTGGACCCCTTTTGTCATCTGCGCGACGGCAGCAGCATCCCTTGCTGCCTGGCTGATCCCCCGTCTCGCGGCGCAGTGGATCCTAGCGATCGGGACGGTGACTATTCTCATTTCCAATGTCCTGATGGCCACCGTACCTCTGCAGCAATCGTACTGGGCCCAGGTCTTCCCGTCCGTTGTACTCTTCTCCTTCTGTCCCGATTTTGTGTATACCGCGGGTCAAATCATTGCCAGTAATTCTGTCCGGCGGCATCAACAGGGTATTGCGGGATCGATTATAGGAACGCTGAATTTGTACGGGAACAGTTTGGGACTGGGGTTTGCGTCGACCATTGAGGTCCAGATTGCTCGTCAACTGGACAGTCGCATCATGGGGTATCGGGCCGCGCTCTATTTTGGCGTTGCTATCAGTGCGGTGGCGTTGATTCTAGACGTATGTTTCGTAAGATTGGTCAAGGACGAGCGTGAGGGATGGGAGGAGGAGGACCTAGTAGCTCTCAACGAGATTGAGCTGCAGGGACATGCGGAGGCGACGGGGGCTCAATTGCCAGCAGCACCCGTCCGGTCATAAGATACTCTGTGCTACTTTTGAGGGGATACTGGAGGCTCTCGAAGAGGCTCGAGCGGGCAAGGACAAGGCTGATTTAAAATATTGGGCGGTGCTGGTCACGCGTAGTTCGTAAATTGAAAAGTCCCGTCTGTTCTGTAGGTGCAATGCTGGCACATATCACTCCGAGATATACAGGGCATGACGCGAACGTAGTCTCTAGTGATAGGTCTCAGCAGATGCTAATGCCTAATTGTTTGTTCTGAGGATTTCAACATCCGAACTGGTTGCTCATGCAATAATCAAATGATCATCGCATGGATACCCCTGTCCAACATCCCCTACACTAGGTGACTTCTTTGTGGGTTGGTACTAAGTCTGATCGATTGCTCTCCCGTGTAACCCTAAAACTTGATGACAATGTAAAGGTTTATGTGGAGTGATACTGAAGGAAATTGCAAATCTAGCGTTATTTATGCAGAAACGTCGCCGGGCTGTGACCCACGTCTTCTATAGAGCTGCCAACGCCCGAGAGCCGATTTACACACGTAGGGTCAAATCTGTTGATGCTTTTGGAACAAAATATTAGCGAGAACCACTACGAGAGGAAGCGGAGTCACTAATGGCAACTTGCTTTCGGTCTACCACTACAGTCTTCAATCAAACAGATATGGCTGGCTTCCTCCTTCACATAATCTCAACTTCCGCAAAGGCAAGATAGACAGGGTTGAAAAAGTGAACAGCATTCACTATCTACAGGTACAATCCTTTCTGATGTCTTTCCTTGGGACAGCCACAGGCCCTTACTGGCTCTCCGCAGTGGCGTCCATTCACACTGCACTTGCCCCCGCACGGCTAAGTAGATATCTTATCAGTTAACATAGTAGAATCAACGCACGGTAGCCCTTACCTTCCTACCAACCAAATCAGAAAGATCTTCCGCGGGAGGTACTCCGCCCTCAGCGAGATTCATGGCCTCGCTAGCTTCTCAGGAATGGCGCTGGCAACGATGGGACCTACCAGGGCTGCGAGGAGGAAGGCTGTCAAGAGAAGCTTCATATTTGCAGTTGAGATACAACGCTTGGGCTTCGACGGATACTGGATCGGGACATAGAGTGACCACTGTATGCTTGGATTGTAGGAGGAAAAAATGTGTTTGGGATAAGGAATAAAGTGAGATGAGTAGAGCTTCAGCAGGGTATTTATATTGCATTCGAGAGTATCTCAGATATCAACTATAATACTAAGGCACTATATCCAGCGAGCTACAGGACATTGACCGCGCCGGATTCAACTCATCACATACAGTCTTCTTGCACACTCCCAGCGCATTGAGAGACTCATCCGGGTTACCCAAAATTACGATAAAGAAAATCCCTCATGTTTGCTACCCTAGACTATCTCTTATTGGTCGACATTTTGTCGTAAATGGTACAGTATCAGGCACCCAGCTTCGCTTTTTTTTCCACCTCTTCATCATTCCGCCCTTCTCTTACCCGGCCTCAGAGCATTGCCGCTCTACCCTCTTTTCTTATTTCAGACCTGTCCTATCATCAGATACTTGCCCTGATGGATCCCGTGGCGTGCGGATCCTTACCCGCGAGCAAAAGCGCCAGGAGTTCAGGCATGACCCCGCATATCCCCAGGAGACGTGGGAAGGCATTCATCAAATCGCAATGGAAATTGGTCATCGATTCACTAATGACAAAACGAGCATTTGAGAGGTTGACGAAAGGTTGCGCGACCTGTGGGATGAACTCATCCATGCAGCGCAAGCACTCCAAGCCCCTAGTGCTGAATTTGACCGACTTGTTACACTGGCCCTGGAGGCTCGAGAACTCGGGCCTTATGTCCGGAAGAAAGAGGCTGGCATTTCTGATGAGGTCCAAGAAGAAGCAATCCTACCTAATGGGCAATATCTCTGGACTGATCTTCCATACCTGGTTCAAGAGTTTGAGGATGCTTGGGCAAAGGAATCTATGGGGTATACAGCAAAAGAGCGCGAGAGTCTAGCCGTAACTCACAGCTAAGCTATGCGCTCTTGGAGTCTGTACTCCGGAGCTCAGTCGTTGTGCGCTGTGGTTGTTCAAGCAGACTTTTGAAGTGGAAAGACCCTTGACCCCCACGCAGGAAGGGGGCGATACAGAAGATACCTGTCCCTCCACTACTGAGATGCTCCCCGCATGCATTGCGTGGCTGAAGTACGACAAGGTCCGACTTATGAAGCTCTCAGCGGCCAACTTTGGCCTCACCTCTTCGCTTACGGAGAAAGGCACACAGATGTCCACAGCCCTCGGAGACCTTGCGCTCCATTTAAATATTCCACAAGACGGCTTCAGCCTCGCAAGATGGCTCCTCTAGAGAAAGCGTTTCAAGGACCTGCACCTTTACGGGAACGAGCAAATCGCCAAGATGGCCAGAGCTTGCTTCGAGGAAGCGATTCTTACAGGGTTCGGGGTGGGCTTAGATATCCCTAGAGAAGAGAAATACCTAGAGAAGCTCTTTGGTATGCTTGATGCAGAGCTGGCCGCGAGAGACTTGAAGGGCAGCGTCGGTCCTGAGGGCGTTGAGATCAACAAGGCTTGGGCTGATGAAGATTAGGCCTTTGTCGTGTTATATAGGGTTGACACGACTCGCTTGCCGTTTATGGGCTGGCTTTTCCACCATTTCTAGTCAACGATGCAGCGTGCTGCTGCATTACTATGATTACATTGGTCTTTCCGCTCAAATGTGTCGTATCGGCTTGGTCGGATCGTCATTAATTTCCTTGGTTTGTCTCTTGTTCTTACATTTTTTTGTCCCCTCTTTTGTCTCCTCTTTTGTCTCCATTTCCATTTTCGTTTTCGCTCAGCTTAACTCTTATCCGTCTGTTAGTGTCTGCGTTTTGCTGTTACGTATTGTCCAGATTGAGCGAGGCACTTGGCATATACCTCTCTCATAGGACCAGCTTTACGTCTGCCTACTAATCCTAACACGGCACCTCTAGAAATATTCTCAAACATATAGAACAGGTGTATATCCCTTGGCTCGGTGGATACCAATCTTGGCGTGGCACAGAGGCAAAAATCTAACGGCAGCCCTATTGCTTGTCCACCGTGGAAGTATTTTCTATTGGTTCCCGTTTTGAGCAATGGAGCTCTACCAGGGAGGTTCTGCACGTGGCCACGTGCGAGGCGTCATAAATAATAGAGGTTGAGTGTCTCAACCAGGACTCAGGAGACCCACAAACAGACCAAGGCGTGTAGTGTACTCCGTACTCCGTATGCGCCCCTTACAACATTTGTAGGTTCTAGGAGACGCTTTCCAGATCGCTCTCAGCGGGTAATATCGCTCGCATTCGTCGGAGACGTGTAGCAGCAGGTCTTCACACCGCGCCATTGTCTACGAGGATTAAGTTTCGGTAAATACCTCAGGCGAAGCCAGGGCGTCTGACAATAAACCTTAAGGCGCATTGGCGAACTGTATGCTGTAGATCGTATTCTCGTGCTCAAAACATGGCATACATCCTATTGGTTCGTCAGTTGATCAACATCAGATCACATACTCAGCACATGCCTTGCGTTCACCTCGGGCGAACTCTTGCGAGGCGACGCAGGATTCTGCACGGGAGGGGTATTCTATTCAAAGTGAAACACGTACAGACCAGCCTGTTCATCTTCCTTGATGCTGTATGGCGGGCATTTCACTCGGCGTAAGTTCATGAAGGAGCGGACGGAGTGTGGCACAGCCGTTCGGGGATTTTCCACTGTCCGGTCGGCTGGAGCCTGGGTGGCTGGCGTGCACGTGATTTGCCCATGTCCGATGACTCGTTGGAACTGATACAAGACTAGGGATACTTATTGCAAGGTGGAGGTATAACTACGCATACAACGGTCTAACCATTCTAGTGTGAAGATCAAGCCCGGACGGGCCAATCGACTACCCTTCGAAACATTGAATCCATCGGTGGTCAATGCATCATTGGATGGGAACAATTCCCTCTATGGTATGTCTGACAAGGACAGTCTCCGTATGACGGTTTGGCGTCGCAGCCACGATGTAATGTACCCTGTCCAAGTTATATAAATAAATGTGGATCGCGAGATCCTGCAAATTAGCGCCTCGGGTGGACATGAGCAGAGACGAGAGAGATATAGATTAGCAGTATGGCATGTCCACAACCATCCAAGCCACACACGCGAGAACAGAATTAAGTATGAAATGTCAAGAGACGAGCGAATGAAACGGCCCATTAGGCAGCACCATTCTGATCCAATCACTGTTCAGGGGCAGTGGGGAATGACTTGGGAGTGTGCTCATGCCGATTGGTGCTTGGCAGCGGACTCGACAGCCTTAAGGGGCTGGCAGGAAGAGGTAGTGGCCAATAGCGGTCTTGGCCATCAGGGTTGGCATTTCGGTATTAAATGGGGTTTGTTTTGCACCGCCCGAAGAACTCTAGGGAGCCGCCACAACCTAGGGCTTCACCGATTCAAGCAAGTCGATGCGTTGTCTGGTTCGCGATCCACCTGGAATGATTTTCCATAGGCGCCAACATTCCCACACTTAGATTGTTCGAACGGTAAACAAAAAAAAGGGGGGGGGGGAAACAGCGCATACTCAATGTAGCCAAGGCCCCGTCGCACAAGGGGGGTCAACCGCCCAATAATTAGTCGTCAATGAAAATTCCTTCTCCAGGCCCAATCGTTCAGATGGGAGGTGGAACCCCCAGGCGTCAATTGCAGGGCCAAGAGAACCGATGCCTCCCCCAGCAGGGCTGAAATGAGCCCGTCACTCCCCGGTACTATTTGTTCTGCCTGTTTGTCTGTTTGTCTGCAACTCTTACTTAAGTACTTCAAACCTCCTGACTCGGTTTTCTTTCCCCCATACCCTCTCTGACTTTTTTTTTTCTTACGTGGTGTTGGCCTCCGTCTCTGCCATCCTCCCGTCGGCCATTTTTGACGCCTGAATAATACCCGTCTTGTCTCTCCATACAACATGTCTTACCAGCAACCCTACCAGCAGCCACCTCCCCAGGGATAGTATGGTTTCTCTTTCTCCCTTTGATCGCTTCTGTCCCTGCTATTGTCGCGCGCTTCGAGCTAACACGGATCGCACAGCTACCCTCCCCCTGGCGGACAATATCCTCCTCCCCAGCCTATGCAATATCAGCAGCCCCCGCCCCAGGAAGAAAAGAAGGACCGTGGCTGCCTCACCGCCTGGTAAGAACGATGAGAAACAGAACCATGAAGGGGAAAATTACTGACCGACCACAGTCTGATGGCCATGTGCTGCTGCTTCCTCTGTGAGGAGACCTGCGAATGCTGCATTGAGTGCGTGGAATGTTTGTGTTGTGGATGCTAGCGATGGGGTTGCGTTATTTAATTGTCATTCATTCGTTTTCTTACGCGGATCTCCTCGACGTGATGGCTTGATGTTTAAATTCTTAATGCTTTACACCTCTTTTTCTTTCTCTATACATTTGCATGTTACCAATATATTGATCATGTGACTTTGTTGGCCGTTCGCTCCTTTTTCCCCGATGACTAACTGCAGATCCCTTCCATCTGGATGGAACGCTGATCAACACCCTGTCGCGCCCGTCTGCTCTCCTTTCCAGATTCTGTCAGCTTTGGCCTCGCGCATACCTCCTTGTCGTTTCCGACCCGACCTGGATCACCCCTTCGAGCGACGGACTGGTATCGGTGGCGGCTAAAAGGTCTACCGCTCAAGACGAATTATGGAACGCGCGGAAAACTGTCCAAGCTCAAGTCGGATGGCAATGACATAAGCGAGAGAGGATGTCAGCAACACAATTCGACCAAGTGCTAGCGATCAGCGGGAAGGCGATCAATCGAAAGAGAACAGGCGCGCATGGATTGAAGTGTTGTGACGGCATAACGCTCTGCCGACGATTACTCCATCGCCTCGATCCTTTCCATATTTTACCCTGAGCTTGTTTCGCCTGTCAAGGATGACTTGGGGCATTGTGGGACCCACATGCCCGCAGACTCAGCCAAGAGCACCACAACTCGGGCACATCGAAGCTGTCGGATCCGTGGCAGGAATAGCGCGATACGTGCTATCCGGTTCTGGTAGTCCACCTACTACTAGTAATCATACGGCAGCCTTATGTGCTTGTTCACGCGCGACTGTGCCGTTGGTCTATTCCTATCGTCCAGTTGTCGCCAAACGAGCTGTTCCGTGATAGGCGGTAAGCTGACATGAGCGTCGTTTACTGTCTTTACCGTTGTAGACAATCTGTAGTATGTCCGCCTTCCGAGTAGCCTTGTCACGGTGTCGTGATTAGCTCTCAACGATAGTGCACTCATTATCAAATTCTCTAGCTTGACGCCTGCCCTAGTTAGATCTCGACTGAACATCTTATCCGCAGTCGTATTAAGCTCAAATATAAACTTTACAAATAGATCAGTTATACAAATTTACCCGTCAAATCTTCGACTGCCCCAACTTCTTCTCCTGCGCTTGATATATCTTCACCAGCTGTCTGACCGACAGATCCAGAAGAACATCCTCCGATCCACCTGGGATTCTCGCGCCAGGAACATCCCTCAGAATCGCTGTAGAACTCGTTAGCAGCCACATCCTAACTCACCAACTTCCCCACCCCTTTCAAAAGAACAAGCCAGGAGAAGAGAACATACCTTCAACCAACTCTCCCTGGCCCGTCTGCGTAAACCCAGCACCCCCAAACAACAACACCGCGCACTGTGCACACTCATTGAGCACCATACCCGCCTTCGCCTTCGCCAAAGCCGTCACACCCCCCAGCACCCGATCACCTTCCTCCTTACTCAAATGACAAAGTTGATACAGAATCGACTCCAACCAAGCCCACATGGTCTCCAACTCCGCGCCCGCCTTGGCCAACCGATGCCGCACAACCGGCTGATCCATAAGCGTCTTCCCAAACGCCTCGCGCTTCAAACAATATCCAAACGCCGCGGACAACGCCACCCGCGCCTGTCGCGTACACCCAACGGCAATGGTCAACCGCTCGTGGTTGAAATTCGTCATAATAATCCGCATCCCCGCCCCCTCCACCCCAATCAGATTCTCCACCGGAACCTTCACATCGTCCAACTCGATATACGTCGTCCCACCCGCCTTCTGCCCCGCAACCTTCAACCGCCGCATCGTAACACCTGGATACCCCTTCAAGGGCACCAAAAGCACCGACAGGCCCCCAGCCCCAGGACCTCCGGTCCGCACAGCCATAGTCGTATAATCCGACCAGATGCCATTGGTAATCCTACACCCCCAATAAGCCCAGCCCAACCAAAAAAGAAAACAAAAAGAAAAAAAGAAACAGAAAAAGAAAGGAAGGGGAAAAAAAAGGAAAGGAAAGGAAAACATACCACTTCTTCCCCCCATTCACAACATAAAACCTCCCATCAGCCGACTTAACCGCCGTAGTGGTAATATTGGCCACATCACTGCCGGCCTCGGGTTCCGTGATGGCAATACAAGCCCGCTTCCTTCCTGTCAACAGATCCGGCAAGAATCGCTCCTGCAGCTCCGCACTACCATATTTGAGTATAGGCGGGATCCCGAACGCGAAGCCCGCGTTCAAGGATGCTCCGGCGCCCGAGAGGCCGGATCGAGCTAGCTATTTCTCTCTTTTTAGTAAG